TTACTAAATAACAAAATATTAAGATCACACTATTTTCTTATAAGTTTTTTCGCGGACTTCGGAATTAGTGTTGTCATTATTAACTAAATGTTACGTATGTAACATATATACATGGGATCCATTATGGGCTTCACAATATTTGACTGATTCGACTCTGAATCCTAAAACTATAAAGAGTCATTATCATCAACAACAATCTCCCATAAATATCGCACAAGTATGAACCTCACATCATTAACATTTTTTTAATAGTAAAAATTTAATAGTCCACTGCTGGACATAAGCCTCTCCTTAGAAAGGAGGTTTTGGCCTACTATGCCACGCTGGCCAGACGGGTTGGTATAGGGTTTGTGTCAAGTTTTCCTTCTCTCTGCAGTGCTGTTGTTCTGCGTAGTTTTTTCCCTTAGTCGGCTCTTACGACACCCACGGAATCAATAGGGTGGTGACACACTTCGGGGCACCAGGGACTTCCTTTCTAGGGTATACCTGGTTCCCCGGCTATTAGTACCCGAGACGGCGTGCGGTTTTAGTCGGTTCGAGTCCGACATGCCACCGACAGGTGGTATCCGAGGGGATTTCCGCACGAAAAAAAAAAAAAAAAGGGTGGTGACACACTGTATTCTTAATCCGTCACCATATGGACCAGTATGAACCTAATTATTATAAAAATACAAATGCAAGTTTCATTTGTTTACACTTTCATGGATAGTTAAGTTTTTGATTCACGCCCGTTAGAGGTAAAAAAAGGATATAAAGTGCCTTTCATAGTGCAAAGTACTTTTCAAGGAAAAACCTAAATTTATTGACATAACTAGCTGCGCCCCGATAAACCGTAGCTGATGACCAGCGGGTCACTCAATCATCTAACGGGAACACTACATTTTTTCAAGCTAAAAAATCATTATGCATGAATATGATTCATGAATATTCATGAATATGATTAATGAATAGGCTAATTCATGAATCCAGGGTGTCAGCTTGATCCATACCAAATTTAATCAAAATTGATCAAGCCGTTTTAACGTGAAGAAGTAACAAATATGCAAACACACTCACAAGCATTCGCCTTTATAATATTAGTGTGGTTAACTTTTCTTGGGGCAAACGTGCAGACGGGTCACCTAATGGTAAGCAACTACCGCGCCCATGGACACCTGCAACTCAAAAGTCACAAGTGCGTTGCTCCCCTTGGAGTCTTTCCCGCTCGAGTCAGCGGGAGGGAAGATTTGGGCTCCGGTAACCTCACTCACTCAGTGAAAGGCAACGAAAGAATTGCTTAACACCGGTTTTCTGTGAGACCGTGGTATCACTCCGGTCGAGCCGGCCCATTGGTACCGAAGCATGGCTCTCCCACGATAACAAAAACTTCACTTTACCGTCTTTAATGCGTCTACATCATGATAAATTATAATACTCTTTAGTTGTCATTGCTTAATTATGCACACATGGTGGTATTTTTCATTCAAATTTGAATGGGACCTAACAGAAAGTTTACCATCCAAAATAAGAAAACAATTTTGGAAATAGGAATGAAAATAACGGAATTCTGATGTGATGAATGATTTAAAAACAGAATTAAGAACCTTTATTGTTTTAAGTATATTTGAAGAGAAAAATTACATTATTAACGGCGAAACTGCGGACAAATAGTTAGTATGTCATAATTTAATGACAAATCAATAAAATCTCAAACACCAATCATCAACATATTAACTTCAAATTCGTGTGCGTGCCCTCCGCCAGCCAATCACCGACTGAACTCCCTTCATTCTCTGTGATACCAACCCTACAATGTAAATTACCTTTTTTTTTTTTCCGTGCGGAAATCCCCTCGGATACCACCTATCGGTGGGATGTCGGACTCGAACCGACTAAAACCGCACGCCGTCTCGGGTACTAATAGCCGGGGAACCAGGTATACCCTAGAAAGGAAGTCCCTGGTACAATATAAATTACCCTAGCATCTTTGACGACCGAATGGCGTAGTGGTTTGTGTAACGGACTGCTATTCCAATGGTCGCCGGTTCAATTCCCGCTCAAGTCAAACATTTGTGTGCATGAACATTTAATGTTTGATTTGGTCTGGGTGTTTCTATGTATGATATGTATGTATTTACAAAAAAAAAGTATATATGTATTTATATTAGTTGTCTAATAGCCATAGTAAAAGCTTTGCTTAGTTTGGGACTAGATGACGTTGTGTGAATGTGGTAGTTTTTTTTTTTAGAATAAACTTTTCTCTTTATGCTAACAACGGTAGCAAAACGAGCAGACGGGTCCCTGAGGTCCAAGTGCGAGTTTATGTCACATCTAGTCGATCGTCACGCTGACCGCGCTCGGCGCTGCTATTGGCCCGCACTGAAATCTCCACCAATCGCAGCGCCGAACTCGCTCGCTGTCGAGAGCGACTTGATTTGAAATAAACTTGTACTTGGCCTTTTCAAATCTCCACCAATCGCAACACCGAACTCGCTCGCTGTTGAGAGCGAGTTGAGCTCAGCATTGTGAGGCCGTGGTATCACCTCGGTCGAGCTTACCCATGGTTCTCCTACGGCTAAACTTCAGCATTTTTCCATTTCTCTAAGGTCTTAGTAAATTAAATGTATAATGTATTGATGTTTTTTTTTTATGGCACGGGCGAACGAGCAGACTGGTCATCTGCAGTGCTATTCTCTAAGGAAACAGTCTTGCGTACAGCGCTGCCACAGAGTCGAACTTCAAACTAAGTTCGTTTAAAATTAGACGCTACAGCACTGTCACAGTTTCGAATTTCAAATTAAGTTAGTTTGAAGTTCGACGCTGTGGTAGCGCTGTACGCCATGCTGTTTTCTTAGAGAATAGCACTGCTGATGGTACGCTATGGTCGCCTCTGGCAACACTTACAATTCAAGTCATAATTGCGTTGATACCCTTTGAGTATCATTCAAATTAAGAGTCAATTCAAACTAACAATTTTAGTAAATGCCGACAGAAGTATTTTATGTCCAAAAATCCCTCGATGTAGTGATAAAAGAGATAGATGAGCTTACATATTATGAGAATACGGAACTCTTCGTCATTATCACGTTTCTGCAGATTTCCTATTTGTACTTGCCTATTTTGGAATTTCGAGATTTAATATTTATTTTAAGGGAAATTTCGTGGGGCTGGTAACACAGACGTCGCTCAGAGGGGTCGCGGGTGTCGTGGGGCGGGGGCGGCGCCGGGTCACGTGACTCAATTACACGTGGCGCACGGCGCGCCATTGTGTGCGGAAGTGACGCGCACCAGAATTAATTTTTAATAAACTTTGTACCGTTGTTGTGTTGACGCCTGATGCCTATTAGTTTGATGTTAGACGATGTCATTATATTTTTATTTGATTTTCATTAATAGGAAGAATTAAATTCACCATGACGTTTTTTTTATTTCAAACGCTACCGTATTGGTTCCGTAGCATAGTAATTTTGGGGGTCAGCGCAATATGAAGCATCTAGTTCCTCTTAGGGCTGGTTTGACCTGACGCCACCTACATTCCCGAGCAAGAGTAGGTACTCTCTTCAAATGGAACCAAGGAAGATGGTAAATTAGCATCAGTATCAAGTATCTGATAGAAATAGGGCAGACACTGCAGTATCTCGAAGAGGGCAAAATTACTACCCCTATTCCCGACTTGTAAGGAGTCGCCACCGATAGGGATATCTAATTGTCTTATTAATTTACTAAGTAATTTTCTTAAACTAAACGAAGGATTATGTTTTTGACCTGTATGTGTATTTTTGTATGTTTGTCTATCCCCCCTTCCCATTACATTCGCCTTCTGGACTTGTAGCGCCAAACTCGTGTGTAAGAGCCTACTAAGGGCGAAAAACAATGCAGGACACCAGCACTGCAAAAAGAAGGAAAACTTGACACAAACCCTATACCAACCCGTCTGGCCAGCGTGGTGTAGTAGGCCAAAACCTCATTTCTAAGGAGAGGCCTATGTCCAGCAGTGGACTATTAAAGGCTGTGTATGATTACTTTGGTATCTTAAGCATAGAGCGTGTGGTTCGTGCAAAACTATATTGGATATTAACTTAGAGAATACTATTAGCAGATAACGAATATCTTTCTATACCTGTTGTCTTGTAAATCGAACACGTACTTAGTTCTACTGAAGTAATAGGTGGCAAGCCTATTTTTTTTGCATATGGCATGGTAAGTGCCTACCGCAGCCCATGTACACCTGCAACTCGAGGGTCACTGTTGCCGTCAATCGAAGAATCAGATGAGATAGATACGAAGAGAAAAGCGGACAAGTGCGAGTCGGACTCGCCCACCGAGGGTTCCGTACAAATTTGTAATCGAAAACTATACATCATAAAAATAATTAAAAATCTGTTTAAGCTTGTGCCAATACACGGATGGCACTTGACTGCACGGATGGCGTAGTGTTTTAAGCGGTCGCCACTTCCTACTACGCCGAGTGTTGTGGGTTCAAACCCCACATGGGACGACTCTTTGTGTGATCCACAAATTGTCGTTCTGAGTCACGGTTAACTCAATTCGAAATTTTGACCGCCGTTCCTTGCATAAAGACCCGTTTTTTCATGATTTAATAACAAATGTATAGTTTTCAGATTTTCCCCTATACTTGTAGTATTACTTATCAAATTTCGTAGTTCTAGGTCAACGGAAAATACGCTAATGATTCCCTTGAAAGTATCGAAATATACGTTTTTTGAGACATAAACGGCCGTATGTTTTCTTTTACAAAGAAGTTTGATTTTTTCACAGCTTCAAGAGACTAGACCTGAGTATATCGTTTTAATTTCAACTCGATACCTTTCCGTACAGACATAGACAGACAGACTGACGGACAGACAACAAAGTGATTGTATTAGGGTTCCGCTTTTTCCTTTTGAAGTACGGAACCCTAAAAATGGTAAAAAAAGAGAATGATTATTTCTATGGATTTATTCGTCTCAAAAGACATCGCGCTGAAATAAATTAAGCAAAATTATATTTAAAAAACTTACCGTGGTGTTGTTGTCTTGGCGGAGGTGGTACAGCACCATACATGTTATCCCGTGGTAGGTGGTGGCCCAGCATGCGTCGACCAGCGGCCTCCATGGTCGCTATCGTGTTTGACCTCGCCATTCCTGCATAAATAATAAACTCACTAAGAACGTGATAAAGAAAAAAATCAAGAATGAAACTACTCATTTATTTTCAGAAGTCTTCTGCTATTTACATATATTTTGTAACCCAAAGAATTTTGCTATAGAGGGTAAGCAAGAAGACTGGTCACCTGATGGTAAATAATTACCGTCGCATCTGGCAACATCTTTAACTTAAAGCGTCATGTGTATTACTGGCCTGAATATATCCTGTGTTGGGGGGACTTTACAAACATACATGAAACGGACATAAAAAACAACCCGACTCAGAAGTACAATTTGTGAACCCACAACACTCGGCGTAGTAGGCATAGGCGTGGCAGCTGCTTAAACCACTGCGCCATCCGTGCAGTCAGGTAACATCTCAGGGTTAATATTCTGGCCAACCTCCGTAATAATATTCTGGCCAACCCTCTGTAGGTTAAAGCCCGAATGTTTTATGACTGAGTAGAGTTATGTCTACGTTATATGTTAATAGGGAATATGCATGTATTTTTTTTATTTTTTTAAACGATTCTACTAGTTATTACATTACCAAAAAATAAATATAACACATCCGAAATATAAACCGTTAAGCAAAAAAATTTTTTATTAAAATCACTATCATTTTGGGGCAATTTGAATACGTCAATTTTGGCGCGCTTTTTTTGTGACGTCAGATTACACTTTCAGACGAATTCGATGTCAACAACGGAGTGAAGTTCACAAAGTTTGTGAAAGTTAAAAAAGTGAGTGATAAAAATTAACTTATTACCATGGAAAAGCCAATAAAAACTTATTATAAATATTGTGCCGTTCCTTTGTGCTCAAATAATATCAAAACTGCACCTGACAAAGTATATTCAGTCATTGTGTTGAGTCTTTCTACACGGGAATTTAATAATTTAACACTGAAAACGTATTAGTTATTAACTTAAAATGAAACAAATAATCACCAGAAACCAAATATTACAAATACACACAACTTGTTGACACTCTTGACAGTGTAGGTTGACGTCACGTTTTATTCAACCAATAGCGTTGCGTTTTAGAAATTTGCGAGGGAATCTTAAAAAAGCCAATTTTTGATGATTAAATTTCACTATTAAATTATAATAAATTTCAAAAATAATTGTATGGGTATCTTTTTTTAACAATAAAAATTACAAATAAAAATATTTTGTCCATTTTGGTGTCACGTGCATATTCCCTATTGACGTATTCGCGCTGTCACAGGGCGATGTGGTTGCACAGCGACAAAACCCCTTTGATAAAAAAAAAACGCAAAAAAAATACAGGCCTTTGAATGCGCCGTCAGATTTAGGGGTTTCGGGATGTGGTTCCTTTAACCTCACTCAGTCAGTGAATAGCAACGAAAGAATTGTTTAACCCCGGTTTTCTGTGAGGTGTGGTATCGACCCAATTGGGCCGAAGCATGTCCTCCCAAGGTCATTTTAAGATTCTTAACCTGATTCACATAGCTTTCTTTTATAAGAACTTACTTGGAATAATTTAAGTTACGAGTAATTTATTTTTACATATGAATATTTTTTTCTTTTTGTTCCATATTTTTCTGCGTCATTGTTTTCCTGCAGAAGTATAATTCATCATTAATATTGGTGATCTAAAATCAGGTGACATTGAAAAATACTTAAATCTATACTAATGTAAAGCTGACGTTTGTTTGTTTGGTTGAACGTCCTAATCTCAGGTACTACCAGCTCGAATTGAAAAACTCTTTTAGTGTTGGATATCCCATTTATGTAATACCTAACGCAAGGCTAGGAAGGCTATCGGGGGGGGGGCCTGAAATAACATGGTCCGGGTCCTCCCCAGAGGCGCCTGAGACCGGCTGTCGGGGTGGTTTTTAGTGCAAACACCACATACCCTGACTCCTGCGTCCCCGAGGAGCCGGAGATCGGAAGAGATTTTAAACCCCGTCAACAAAAAAAAGGCTAGGAAGGCTATATAACATCACGCCGCCACCAATAGGAGCGAAGAATTAAGAGCAATGAAAAATTGATTCTGAAATGAAACTCCGACAAAAAAATTTTCTGCCGAATAAGTCGCCGACAGAATGTTTAGTTTATGATATGTTCAACAACAGAACTTTTCAAATACGAACAACTCATAAACGAAACATTCTGTAGGCGACTTATTCAGCAGAGAAATATTTGTCGGAGTTTAAGAATCTTTTTTTTTTTGTAAAGTGGAAATCTTATGCCCCTTGAGAGAAGCAGAGGAAGTTGCGCGAGGCAGCTTAAAATGGGTATTTAAAATTGTTTATTTTAAGTGATTAATTAATTATTTTTCAAAATTCGAATGTAAAAACGACAAAAAAACACCCTTACTTTAATTTACCCCATTTGGGAATCTACCCCACGACTTCCGGTTTAGCAGTCGGGTCACTAACCTCTAGGCCAATCTAACAATAATAGCTAACTTACCAATCTGAGGTCGCCAATTCCTATTCTCTTCGTGTGACAGGTTCCCCGGCTTCAGGACCCGGGGGGGCTCAACAGCGCCAAACAGCCTCCGCGCCGGGAACTCCTTGTCGTACGACGGGTCTAGGAACCTCACGCAGACCGCTTGGTTACCGATGACCGGCTTCAGCCCAATGACTGGTGATGCTAACTGCCTATTGGAGAAAGAGCATATGACTATGAGCATAAAGTATCCGTGGGGTGACGGATTAAGAATACGGAGTGTCACCACCCCTATTCATCCCGTGGGTGTCGTAAGAGCCGACTAAGAGAGCAAACTACGCAGGACTAATGTGTAAAGAGAAGGTAAACTTGACACAAACCCTATACCAACCCGTTGGGCCAGCGTGGCCTGTGTCCAGCAGTGGACTACTAAAGGCATTTTTTTTTGACGTGACAACGTCTTATAATTCGATGGAGCCGGCTGCACGCTCGAAAAAACATGACTCATGCGGCGTTACCTCGCTCTGAGGCGTTCCATTTAAGGCTTGAAGTGCAAGCGAGAGCGCGGAACGTGCGACAAAGAGGCACAATCGGCCTCCGCGTTCGGCAGCGTTTGCCATCTCTCTCTCTCTCCTACTTGAGTGAGCGATGCGTCCGCGTGGACAGCTGCTATACAATAATACATTTACATGTTTTCGTAAAATGCAACCATTCCATCAGTATTTTCTTATGACGTTGTCACGTTCAACTATCGTCAGTAAACCGACTTTACAGACAACCGATTTTTTTTTTTTATTGTTATTCACAAAACTGATGTACAATCTCATGCACATATATACATTATGATAAAATGTTACAATATTCTTCCGATTGACATCTACTAGATGTGAATCTTACATGCATTAAAACTAAAGCTAAAAAAAGGTAGTTGCTAGATAAAAGACATATCTACTACTTAATATTTAAAATTATACAACATTAAAATTATAATACTAAATCATTCGATCAACTTTCTTAGTTTGGACCTGACTGAAACCACAGAACCAGCAAAAATATCCAGCCCGTTACAGAGGGAGTTATCTTTTAATGATAAAGTAGTTAAGTAAAGCATAATATTTTAAAGAAAGACACAGAACACCTTTCGTTCTTTAAAAAGACAACTGGGGTACTATAATATATCGTGTGTCGCGAAAACACCCAGACTCAGAACAACAATTTATAGATCAACCAAGTGTTATCCTATATAGGGATCGAACCCACCACACTCAGCTTAGTAGAAAGCGGCGAAATGACCGCTTAAACAACTACGCCATCCGTGCAGTCGCCAGCTTTACACCGAAGACGATTTTAATATCTGGATGCCGGATTTAATAAAATTTCGATTTCATAGATTTCTTCTGCCAAGTAATATCTTTACTTTTTTATGTTACAGGGGCCAGACGAGCAGACTACTTACCCTCCAATGACAACATGGTCAGCACTAAGCATGACTTCCCCGGTGACACCCTCCGACCGGTACGGGTACTTCTGTTTGTTCTCGATGAGGGCTCGCAGCTCGTGCCCAGCCTCCTTGTACAGCCCCAGTAAGTACTCGTAGCTCTTGTTGCCCGTACCCACGTACAGACGGTCATGACCACGGATGTTACGTTTCTCTGTGGAATAAAGGAATATTACATGTCTGTCTATCTGTCTCCAGTTCGTTGCAGGTTGAATATGCCATTCAATAAACTAACCATTTTGTATCTACACTTAACATAAAAAATAAACATTAGTATTAAAAAAATCGTCCGTGTGGTGACGGATTAAGAATACAGAGTGGCACCACCCCTTGTCATCCCGTGGGTGTCGTAAGAGCCGACTAAGGGAGCAAACTACGCAGGACAACAGCACTGCTGAGAGAAGGAAAACTTGACACAAACCCTATATCAACCCGTCTGGCCAGCGTGGTATAGTAGGCCAAAACCTCCTTCCTAAGGAGAGGCCTATGTCCAGCAGTGGACTAGTAAAGGCTGTTGATGTGATGTGATGATGTGATTAAAAAAATAGAATACTAACTCTCAGCTTCCGTCAGCTGACTATAGTGGGGCTCCAGCGCTCGGAACAACCTGTCCTCGTCCACGAAAGGTAACAAAGCGACGCCTTGCCAAGCGAATTTCTTGCCGTTCAAGTCTATCTTGAAGTCCGTAGGGTAGAAATCAATGATTAAAGAAAACTGTGGACAGAGACAAATATTTTTATTATTTGTATATACTACAAAGGAGAGTAAACAATGTTAAACTATAAAATTTTACTGCGGCCTCGGTCATGAAGCACTTGCTGCTCTAGACATTAAATAGTGCTTCAGTATACTTGTTATGGGTATAAAAGAAGTTTTTTTTTTCTCTTTTGCAAATACAAATCCAACTCCATTAGGAAAATATTCTGTGTCGCGGGGGACTATGAGACGCGCACAAAGAACACCCAGACTCAGAACAACAATTTGTGGATCACACAAAGTGTCGTCCCATGTGGGGATCGGACCCACAACACTCAGCGTAGTAGTGAGCGGCGTGGCGAATCCGTGCAGTTGAAGAAATGGGCGTGATAAATTTGCCTTTGAACTATTGAATTTCAATTTTATATTACTGTCTATTATTGTCATTTATTTAACATTTTACTGTTACAACAAAATTTAATATCATCTAAGTATAAAATTCTCGTGTCACGATGTTAGTTACCATACTCCTCCGAAACGGCTGGACCGATTTTTATGAAATTTTGTGTGCACATCGGGTAGGTCTGAACATCGTCATCTATTTTTCATACCCCTAAATGACAAGGGTGACCCACCCTTAATTTTTTTTTTTATATTTAATAGAAATAATGTATATGGCACAACAAGGTTTGCCGGGTACTAGCCGATGCTAAATCACGCTATAGAAATACTTACTGGATCACTCATAAGTTTCGCCCAAGGTTTAGGTACGTGTTGTGAACTGGCTGCCGGGAACACACCCATCAACTGTTCCAAGGGACGGAACTAAAAACAAGAGTATGTATTAATAAAATTGATTGACTATTTTACAATACCTACCAATATGGTAGAATGTGACTATGTGAAAGTGAAGGTTATTATTACATAATTAATGCTAGTCTAGTATTAATTGTGACTGCCTGCACATATTTTTTTTTCAAGTATGTTTTTTTTCCTTACAGTGACTTTCTAATTATGAAAAAAAATTAAAATCAGTACAGTAATTTCAGGTTTAATTAAACACATATTTTTTCCTTTATAATATTTCTAGAGGGCATAAAATATTTTGAATCATATTTTAATAATTTTGATATATTTCCATAAGAATCCTCCCAATAACATTAATTCTAATGATGAAAATAATATGACGAAAATTTTACAAAAATGGTATTATTTAATAGAAATATTCTATTTCTATATTACCATAAAATACCATGTATATATTTGAAATTATAAATTGGTGTTTAAACCGCGGCCTGCTACCATCCTCCTACCCATCTATCTGTCCTCTAAAACGCCCTTCATTATCTGTGACGTCACGATTTATATAGAAGTAGTGACGTCACATTCTTACCGGCTGTGTCCCCTCTTCAAACTTGGTGGATAGGCCGCATATATTGACAAAGTCGGAGGCGAACGGCGCGTAGTGGTAGGGGAAGTACCACTTCCAGCTGGCGCAACCCTGGTAGTAGTAACGGAGCACCCAGCACAGACCGCGCACATACTGCAGGGCTACGCGATACCTTGGGGAAGAATTTCAAATTAAGAATTGCGCTAATTCATTGACATTATTCCGGTGACACTTTGTATTATTAATCCGTTACCACAAGGATCTGTTGTTGATATAGACTATTTCTTAAGTAAAAATGTAGTGTGGCTAGTATTTTTTATTATTATTATTTTGTTTATTTTTTATGTTTCACTTCATTTTCTCTTTCATTCGATTTTTTTTTCTCAATCTTGTTTTCTCTTCATTGTGTTTTTACCTTATAGTCCTTAATAACGGACATACTGGCACACATCAAAACAATGTGTGGTATATTTAATAGTGCCATTGTATCTACCTGTGAATTGCAAAAGAGTGGCCATGAGTTTGTGTGCCCTTTCTTCTCATAAGGCTCAACCCCTTGGAAACGGGCGGTTGTAGATCGGCACAGGCATATCATAGATTCTGTATGGGTTTGATTTATGATAAATTTATTTGGTTACTATTTGACAAAACAGAAATTGTTGCTTTTGTGTGTGTTGATCTATGAGTTTAGAGTCTACATAAAAGACGATTTCAAACAATATAAATATAAAAAAATATATCAAATAAAGAGAGTTTGAGTTCTGGATGCGACCCTGACTACAACCAATGGCTTGAGCCATCGGTTAAACTCCCAATTAGACATGGCACAAAATCACATTGAAATGTGATTTATCATTCGATTCTTTCGTAGTTTAGGGTTGATACTTATTCACGCGTTGTTACCAATAAGCTGTTTTCAGACGCTATTTAACAGTAATTCTAGTATTTTATTAAAGTGCAATGGGAGAGTCCTATGTCCAGCACGTGTGGTGACGGATTAAGAATACGGAATGTCACCACCCCCTATTCATCCCGTGGGTGTCGTAAGAGCCGACTAAGGGAGCAAACTACGCAGGACAACAGCACTGCAGAGAGAATGAAAACTTGAAACAAACACTATGCCAACCAGTCTGGCCAGCGTGGTACAGTAAGCCAAAACCTCCTTTCTAAGGAGAGGCCTATGTCCAGCAGTGGACTGCGATGGGCTGATGATGAGTTTAAAAACTTATATCACGTATTAATATTTACCTGAACTCAAGGTTGTCTTTGCTAACTTCGAACTTGCTCTCATAGTAACGTTCTTTGAAGCCGTCTTCCCAAAGACGCACTTCATCATGTTTGTCGTCATCATCGTCATTGTCCAACCCCGCTGCTGCAGCACTACGCTTACGATGACCCTGGGGCTCCTCTCTTTGCTGAAAAAAAAAAAATAATAATTAAAAAACAAACTAAACGAGTGTGCTTTACACCACACGCCTGAAGTAAAACTTCTTGGCTATGAGAATGTGTTCTCGCACCTCTCTATCTTTCCCCCAACAGTAAAACACGAAACGTAAACTCTCTCTATCTTCAATAACTTATTTCTCCCTCTCAACTTCCGTGCGCCTCGCCGGATCACACCTTTCGTAACGCTCTCGTCACGCATTCACCAGCTTTCTCACACACTTCCTAAGGTAGTCCGACTCATTACCGTCAAGTGCTTGTAGCTCATACCTACGGTCATGAAACTACAAGTAAGGGGCAGCATGGACGAGTAGAAGGTTTTATAAAAGCAGAGTGAGCTTCACCTCCTTTTACTAACCTATTTATATAATACTAGCTGACCCGCGCAACTTCGTCTGCGTCTCTCAATAGTAATAAATTTTCCGTTTTTGAAACATTTTTCATTGGTGCTCCGCTCCTATTGGTCTTAGCGTGATGATATATAGCCTATAGCCTTCCTCGATAAATGGGCTATCTAACACTGAAAGAATTTTGCAAATCGGACCAGTAGTTCCTGAGATTAGCGCGTTCAAACAAACAAACAAACAAACTCTTCAGCTTTATAATATTAGTATAGATATACCTCACACATCTCACACAGGGCCGTCTGATCCCAAACTAGGCAGAGCCTGTGCTATGGTAACCACACCCACAACCTCCGGTTTAGTAGTCAGGGGCACTAACCACTAGACCAACAGGCCCGTATTTAGATGGGTGAAAGGAGTTTATTTATTTATTTATTTGGATGTTGTTTTCAATAGAACAATTTAAAACACTACACAACATATGAAACAGTTTTTGTTTATTTTTATTCGTTTGTTAACAAGTGTAAACTACAAAATTAAATAAATAATATGTGAACTCACCGCAGCAGTACTGTTCATGCCAGCGAGTCGAATGTTAGCCGCCTCCCGCCGCACGTTCTCCACGGGTCGTGACGACTGCTGGCCAATAGGCTGCAAACCACACATGGGGCTGGGGTTAATCACACACTAGACGTTTTTTTGGACAATCAAGGTCACCTTACATTCTTAATTTTATTTTGATATACCGGTCATGTCCCCAAGGGTTGACCGATATTGTCCCTTATGGCACTAAGTCCACCTCTTACAAATGCAGAAGTATTTAATAAATACATCTAAACATATAAAATTACTTGGCCTAACTGACTTATTTATCAACGCAGGGTCTAAACTTTTTTTTTTTTTTTTTTTTTTTTTTAACACACTCACACACGGCCGCCTGATCTCAAACTAGGCAGAGCCTGTACTATGGTAACCAGACCGCTGATAAACATACTTATATATTTCTAAATACATACATATTATATATAAATTACACCCAGACACAGAACAGATGACCGTGCTCATCAAACTGCTGGGACTCCAAACTAAACATTTTGACAGCTGATTCTTTTTAAGTAGTAAGCACAAATTAAAAATAGATATTTTGAAATTACACCCCTAAGGGGGTAAATAAGGGATGAATGGTTGTATGGAAGTTCATCATTTTCAAAGTTAGAAACGCGAAACCAGAAATATTTACGCGAGCAAAAGCTAGTAAATAATATGCGTATTATAATATAATAATAACCTCACACATTTCACACACGGCCGTCTGATCTCAAACTAAGCAAAGCCTATACTATGGTAACCAGACTGCTGATAAACATACTTATTTATTTTTAAATACATACATATTATAGATAAATTACACCCAGACACAGAACAAATGACCATGGTCATCACACACTGTTTGTTCTGGGTGGGAATCGAACCCAACACTAGACCAACAGGCCCATATTGATCATACGAATGGTATTTTCGGTGTTTTTGTACATGCAGCCAGTCTCACCTGTGGCGCAAACTGAGTTCTCTCGAGCAGTCCGAAGTTAGGCCTCTGCTGTCTTTTCTTGGCCTTATCCCTAGCTTTAAAGTTGAGCTCGTTCTGGTGCCGCCGTTTGAAGATCTCGTCTTCCATGTGGCCAAGCTCTGTCATGATGACTTGAACTCTTTCGAGTTTCACATCACCAGAGTCTGTGATCCATCCCTGGTGAACATTAGAATAGTTTAAAGGACATTTTCACTTGTCTTACATACATATGTTTATTTTGTAAGATGACGCTACAATATCGACGGTATTGCTGAACTAATATCTTATATATAAAATTCTCGTGTCACAAATACCATACTCCTCCGAAACGGCTGGACCGATTTTTATGTAATTTTGTGTGCACATCGGGTAGGTCTGAAAATCGGCCAATATCTATTTTTCCTACCCCTAAATGACAATTGTTAATAACTAGGTGAGGCTTATGTCCAGCAGTGGACTGTTAAAGGCTGATGATGATGATGAAATGACAAGGGTGACTCACCCCAAAAAATTTTTTTTCAATATTTCCTAGAAATAATGTATATATATGGCAAAACAAAGTTTGCCGGGTCAACTAGTATTATTAGAAAAATACAAACGTCTCACCTTAGTTCGATAAACACACTTTTTATATAAGTTCACAAGACGGTCCACAGCACCCTCTCTAATTTCCAAACTCGGCAGATGAGGCAGAAAATCATTGCCGACGAAGAAGCACATGAACACCCAGTCATCGAGGGCTCTCTCGAAGTCATATCTGAAGGGTAGGTCTGGCATCTGCAACTCCCTCTCCAGATACTCCCGGAGTACGCTGAGCCGTACGAAGATGAAGTTGTCCTGGTTTCCGAAAGCAGGATCAGAGCGTACTAGTGCAGCATCTGGCGTGGTGCCTGTACATTCTTTCATTTCATGACCTGTGGGGGATTGTTGATAAAATTAAATTAACTAGGTAAAAAATGTTTTCATTGCCAAATACTCAACATATTATCATAACCTTTTGGGTACAGGTCAGGGTAAGAAGGGCAAAATAGACTACTTCCTTCTACTTTTAACCCGACTGTGCTTAAAAAAAAGGGGGGGTTGTGTTCTTCGAGTGTATGTATGTTTATTTCTGTGGCACACTGTAGTCAAAACGGCTTCATGGGTTTTGGCGTTTGAGGTGTCGTCAATTCGTCTGAATTGTGAGTGACACTGGGTATTTGAAAATCATAAAAAAAACTTAAAATCGCCGATAGGCAATTATAGGTATATATTTTCATGCATCAACAACCTTTAATAATCCACTGCTGGACATAGGCCTTTCCTTAGGAAGGAGGTTTTGGCCTACTATACAACCCTGGCCAGACAGGTTGGTATGGGTTGTTTCAAGTTTTCCTTCTCGTTGCAGTCCTTTCAGTGATTTCTTTGATTATTTATATGGCAGAACAACGTTTGCTAGGTCAGTATCATCACACATCAACAGCCTATGATAGTCCACTGCTGGACATAAGCCTCTCCTCTGAAAGGAGGTTTTGGCCTCTCTGGACAGACGAGTTGGTGTAGGGTTTATTTCAAGTTTTCCTTCTCTTTGCAGTGCTGTTGTCTTGCGTAGTTTTCTCCCTTAGTCGGCTCTTCCGAGACCCATGGGATGAATAGGGATGGTGACACTCCGAATTCTTAATCCGTCACCACACGGCCACAGTCAAAAGTTAGTAGGATCATATAATAAAGATACACTTACCCAACTGTCCACAAACATCGCAGGGTCTTGGCTTGTTGGGTTTGAACTCCTCCCGAATAATAGTGAAGTTTGGTTCATGGGTCGCCAGGCCCAACATGATGAGGTCTGCGTCGGCGCCGCACAGTACGTGTTGCGTGTTAGGGTCGTGATCACGTTGTACTAGAATGTTGTAATTAATAATTTCTTGTTACATTATCTTTGTATGATAACTAAAGAGCAATATGGCTTCGATTCCCAATCAGTTTAATAACATGTAAAAAAAAATTATAGATTTAAAAAACTTTTAAAAAGCTTTCTATAGAAAACCAAACTAAAAAATAGAAAATAAATTTCAAAAAAAGCGTTGGGTGCCTGTTGTCAATAGTAAAAAGCACCCCATTTTTAGTTTTTTAAAACATTTTTTTTTTAAATTAGTGTATTGTCATCGGTCCTCGAATTATCTACAAAGTTTGAACGAATTCTGACTGTTTAAAGTCAGTCAAAATCACGCCCAAAGGAGTCGGTTACAAACATACAAGTGAAGCTAATATGCTTCGTGTAAAAATGAATTAATTACTATATTATTTATGGATTTCTAAAAAAAAATGTTTAGTATAATATGCGTTCTCAAGAACCCATAAAAAAGCCATAATTTGACATAACTTGAGGTCGAAGAAAATAGCCCAGTTTAATATATTCATTCTTATATACACAATTACATTCATTCTTACATTCACACGTTGCACATTAATATCGTCATGCAACGTTTGCAAACATTTTACTTTTTGCTTGAGAAATATATATAAGAATAAATTAAGTCTCGTTGACATCTATACAAATAAATAAAATTGGAGTGTCTGTTTGTAATATTAAAATAACCGCTTTTTACTAAATGCATATGTATGTTTACACGGTACGTATGTCAAAATAACATTTTTTACAATTTCTGTCTGTCTGTTTGTTCCGGGTAATCTCTGGAACGGCTGGACCGATTTCGACGGGACTTTCACTGGCAGATAGCTGATGAATAAGGAGTAACTTAGGCTACTTTTTTTTGGACTAGCTTCGCCCCGCGGCGTTGCCCGCGGTTATAACAACAAACGTGAGTAACACCGCGGGTCTCAGCTAGTTAGTAAGATGAACGGATTTTCAAAAATCTATCTCGCTCTACCATCGCTATTATAATAATAATAATAGCCTTTTATTCCTAAACATAGGGTTACAAGATTTCCCTAAGTTTGGTGTGCATTTTGGCATAGGCCTCCTTCAATTCTTTCCAATGGGTCCTGTCCCTTGCTACTCTCAACCATAGTGGTCCCGCTGTCTGTTTCAAGTCATCTTCCCATCTCCTGACCTGACGACCCCTACCTCTTTTGCCGTCTCTTGGGGTGGCATAGCATATGTCCAGCCCATCTCCTTTTTTGGATGTCTATCCGGGTAAAAATATCTGTGAGTTTAGTTCTTGTTCTTATGTCTACGTTCCTGACGCTCGCTATTATATCAAGAATAGGGAATATGCACGTGACACCAAAATGGACAAAATATTTTTATTTGTAATTTTTATTGCTAAAAAAAGATACCCATACAATTATTTTTGAAATTTATTATAATTTTTTAAGATTCCCTCGCAAATTTCTAAAACGCAACGCTATTGGTTGAATAAAACGTGACGTCAACCTACACTGTCAAGAGTGTCAACAAGTTGTGTGTATTTGTAATATTTGGTTTCTGGTGATTATTTGTTTCATTTTAAGTTAATAACTAATACGTTTTCAGTGTTAAATTATTAAATTCCCGTGTACAAAGACTCAACACAATGACTGAATATACCTACTTTGTCAGGTGCAGTTTTGATATTATTTTGGCACAAAGGAACGGCACAATATTTATAATAAGTTTTTATTGGCTTTTCCATGGTAATAAGTTAATTTATATCACTCACTTTTTTAACTTTCACAAACTTTGTGAACTTCACTCCGTTGTTAACATCGAATTCGTCTGAAAGTGTAATCTGACGTCACAAAAAAAGCGCGCCAAAATGGACGTGTTCAAATTGCCCCTAAATGATAGTGATATTAATAATTTTTTTTTTGCTTAACGGTTTATATTTCGGATGGGTTATATTTAGTTTTGGTAATGTAATACCTAGTAGAATCGTTTAAAAAAAATAAAAAAAATACATGCATATTCCCTATTAAGAAAATATAGGACTAGAAAATAAATAAAGTCCTGTATTAGTAGTGGGTACATATTCGTGGTACATTTGACGGCTTAATAACTATGATGCTATCACATTGACATGCATTCTTACCCCTCTGTCTTCGAATATAGTCCATGATTTTGTGTTCGCCTTCCCCGGGTACGTTAGCATCAGATAAAATAACCTTAATACCCTTCCATCCAGGATCATTGTTCAATCTGTAGACAAATCAAAATAAATCTTAAGAAATTCTGCCGTGAGACGGGATCGGCTGGACCAGAGTCCCACGTTCTCACAGGAAACCGGTGTTACGCAGTTTTTTGTTGCTTTTCACCGAAGAGGTGAGGTTACGGAAGCCCAAGCACTGCCTATTTATGACTCTGTAGTGCTCTTTTTAGGATACTGAGATTGAGCGAAAAGTGTTTGTGTACACTTTACAAGACCTAACATTTATATATATAGATTTCTTATTCTTTTTCTACTTTAAAAAGACAGCTTCCGCATTAGAACTGTATCCTGTGTCGCGGGGGACTTTACAAACATACATGAAACGGGCACAAAGAACACCCAGACTCAGAACAACAATTTGTGGATCACACAAGTGTTGTCCCATGTGGGGATCGGACCCACAACACTCAGTAGTGAGTGGCGTGGCGACCACTTAAACCACTACGCCATACGCCCATGTGTGACACATCGCGGATTTTTAGATATATTCTGATGTATTCCGCTTGCTCTTTGCCCTCCTTTACCATGACAGAAATTTTATTTTATTTGTGATAATATACTTTTTATCACAAAACTACATGGCGTTTTGTGAACTTGTGTGTGAGATGTCACTTTTTTTTTATTTAACTTAATGCACAAGTACACAGGCGGACTTAACGTCCAGGGCATTCTCTGCCAGTCGACCTTCGGGTGATGTAGAAATATGATGCGGTATGTCACAGAGAAAACAGAGAACTTGAGCATGTCGCATACGCTGCCACCAAATGCGATTACTGTAAGGCATCGATATTTTTTGATATCTGATGCATATAAATAATAAAATAAATAATAAATAATATTGTACCACATTCACACAACGCCATCTAGTCCCAAACTAAGCAGAGCTTGTACTATGGGTATTAGACAACTGATATAAATACATATATACTTTTTTTTTTTGTAAATACATACTTATTATACATAGAAACACCCAGATCAAATCAAACATTAAATGTTCATGCACACAAATGTTTGACTTGAGCGGGAATCGAACCCGCGACCTTTGGAATAGCAGTCCGTTACACAAACCACTAAGCCTTTCGGTCGTCGTTTTCGTGGTTCAGATATGAAAAAAAAGTCGTGAGGCACTTACGACATTTATTTGCCTAAAAGAACTTTTCATGACACGGAAATAATCTAAGCGAACTATTCTTCGGATCAGCACATACCTGTCATGTATATAATAATGTAAGCACTTGCTTAGCCGGTCCATGAATGGGGTTCCAGGCGTGATGCAGTTAGAATCGAAGTGGGCTTCCTTCGGCCTCTCGGGGGGAAGGTAAGCGCCTTTAGCCTGGAGTTCGGAACGGATGCGAGCCACCTCCTCAATCTTCTCCTGCGTCTCTTTGGAGGCACGGAATCGTCGGGAACGTTGTTGGTTCATTTTTGCTCTGGGAGCCTAAATAAAAACAGGTGAAGATTAATTTTTGTTCTAAAAGTTACATAAAAAAACCTATTTACCTATTGGAACTTCGTCACCTGTTAGCTTTGGAGTGAACATTCGCTGAGAAAAGGTTAATGTAGCATCTAAATGCGTTGATTAAGCCCTAGTGTTATCTATTTTTTATACAGTAACCTCAGAATCAGAGATAATAATTTCTATCCTTAAACCCTGACTAGGCTCTTGAAATGCCTTCTATTCTTTACTTTTCTTATGTATTAAACATAATTCGCCAAATTTGTGGATAAGGAAATCAGCATAACACACACATGTAAACCTAACCAGATCATTCGTATGTCGCGTATACCAGACACTTTACACGACTTCGACCACTTGAAGCTGTTTTGTGTATCATTTTACCAATATTTATAGAATAATACAACTTTTCGTAGCATGTAATTGTTCTAGACACAAAAAAGAATGATACAAGAATGATAATTAAATAATTATTCTTACAATAAAAAGGTTATAAGAATTAAAAGGTACTCACCACTCCATCAATGGCCATATATAATAATTTCCTGGGCCTCACAATGCGGAACAGCCTGTCAATGCAGTCGAAAATTGCCACCATCATCTCGTCTTCATCCTTCGGTGGGGGTTTGTCTTCAGGATGTGTACACGGATGAATAATACCGTTCATATCAAGATACAAGTTGTCAAACTCCACTCCATTTGGATTGGGGAGTGAAGAGTCAATGTAAACAAGCTGGCCATCCACATCAGTGGGCTGAAAAGAAATGTAATACGTTAGTTTAGTGTTTACAGAAGTTGAGAAGATAAATTTTCAACGACATCATCCTAGTTTCTAACATACAATATGAGATTATATTTTGATTTGAGATTGTTGACGTGATTTTTTTTTGTAACGTCGACAAAAGCCAACCTTGATTTTTCATCAATAGGACTGAGGCTCGTTAAAAAAGCGCCTTCGCTCGTTTAAAACATTTCCGCCTTACCCAGCCCAGGAAAGGAGTATGCCAATTTTTGTATGGGAATCTATACCAACTTGCGTCAAACCAAATCTATTCTCATGAGTTTTGTTTATATTTCATAATTCTCTACTGACAATATTTCGTTAATGTTTAACCGCATTTTCGAAATATTCAAAAAAGTTACGATGAAATTATTATATTTTTTAGCAATTGTTCATACTGAAATGATTATACCTATAGATATGTGTTTTAGGGCACATTCCTGAGGAGTTCATTGCATATTATAAATATGTATAGTTCGCGATAACTTAAAACCAGGACTTGTTCTCCCGTTCCCCCGTACGCTTTCCATTCTCGTCTATATTGTGACGTTAAGAGCTCGGGTATCAACTTGTCGCCTAGGGGTATTGTCTTTGTACCAGGGATTTCCTTTCTAGGGTACACCTGGTTCCCCAGCTACTGGTGCCGAGACGGCGTGCGGTTTTGAGTCGGTTCGAGTCCGACATAGCCACCGGTAGGTGGTATCCGAGGGGATTTCGGTATTGTCTTTAAGCCCTAACTAGGCCTTACCCTGGAGAGAAGAAGACTGTTAAAGGTCGTGGTGCTTGTCTGACTATTTTATTTATTTTGGATCGACAACAAATCATACACATATCTTACATAGGTATAAAAATACAAATTCATTCCTTATGCACATTAAATTATGGGCAATCACACCTAATGTAAGTAACACTTGTACTGTTCTAAATAAAAAACAAAACATGTAAAATAAAAACAATATTAAAAACAACCAAAGTATTTAAAGGCGACAACATAACACGGACTATTCAAATAGAAACTCAAGCAAGCCTTTCCGAGTTCCAACAACAAAATTAGCTTTGCACTCTTCCAGCACTCAGGGAAACATCCAAACTTAGCTAGCGTCGAACATCTGAGGAGGTCTGATATGTTTTCATAATAAAGCCACAACTTATCTAACATATTTATTTGGATAAGGAATAACTATAAGGAATATACTATATTGCTCAAAATAGCTTTGTTTATTGCCCCTTATTTTTTGTAAAATTTAAAAGACAAAAATGGTTACTATGGGTTATCGTTAGGAGATATTTATACCAATGCTGAATTTTTTGTAGGTCTTTTTAAGATTTACAATTCTGTAGTACATTTTTTGATGTATCTCAGGTTTAGCCAATGTTTGCAATCTACAACAAAACATGTTTTTTATGACTTTACAGTACAATCTACAACAAAACATGTTTTTTACGACTTTACAGTACAAATCTTTGAAATTCTCAGATTTTCTCTACTATAATATGCATGTACTAGATATAGATGCAAACAATAAGATGGTTTGAAAATAATGCTCTGCCAAAACATGATACGAGAGTCTGGTATCTTGGAATACATCTGGATCATTGCTGAAGCATGGAAGGTGTCCATCAAACAAAAGTGAACAGAACTTATTATTCAAATTAAGGTCCGTCTTTGACTGTTGGAAAAAATAGCTCAAACTATCAATACACTCTTTGTCAATAAGACCGATGTGGACATTTAGACTAATTTCAATGTAGCGCCTAAGATTCTAATGTTATGCTTGCAAATCAATGCAAAACATTTTCCTCCGAAGTATCAGATGTGGAAGTCCACAAATACTTGATAATGTGAATTCTTTGGGTTACCACCATTGGGTTTGATCACCAGATCGCAATAACTTCACAAGATTGCTTCAACAAGCAGTCTGATGTCTATAGCAAACTCATCGAGAAAAGGCAACAACACTGAATGGATGAATGTTTAAGGGGTCACCACCTTTACCAGTTCTTTCCATCTGTTTGAAAACGGATCACTGTGTTGCTCGAGTCACCATTGTGTCAATGCTCAACACCGAGCTGTACTGTGCGAGTGTAACTGTGAACAGTCTGCTCATCATATCTTCGCTTTGCTCAGACGGGTATTGGATTTATTTTATTTCCAACCCTTCCAATTTGATTTTGGTTAATTATGTTGCAAGTTCCAAGACCGTTTGTTATTTAGTGAAACTTCCCGAGTGTCATAACTGTGTGTTCGTGGGTCAGTGCTGTTGCTCCTGGTTTACAGGAGTTACAGTGGTGGGTGTGTAGGAGTGATTTAGATGAAGGCACACATTGTCTCTTGCCCATTATAATTTTTTTTTCAACCAACTTTATTTTGTAAATATGTAATTACATTGTCTGACCCCCTAAAATGGGTTGATGGTTTGACATTAAGTGAAGATGATTTAACATGTAGCTAACCCACTTATTTACAGTGAAAGAAATAAAAAAAAACAATATTTGAGTTGATTTATAATCTGTATTCATGTATCAAGCAAAATACTGCTAGCCATTAAACTTATGTGATTTGTTACTACGCGTGGCTAGAAATACTTATAGTTTTGTGGGTAAGTTCCATGTTCCAAAACGGTATCACACAATACAGAGAAAGGGTTGTGGGTATATTTATTAATATGGCATGTCCATATGTCGCAGAATATCCTAGCAGTTTATGCAAGTTAATAATACCTAAACGATCCATTGATTCTAAACTGCTTGGTACCATACAACGAAATAAGCAAAGCCCATGAAACAAAAAAATCATAGGTTATGTCTTACCCTCTGTTCCACACATTCAACAATGACGCTTGGATATTTTCTGCTCAACCAACGGAAAAACGCTGGTACTCCCATCTTGAATTACACTTAAAATTTATAGTCTCGTTATTTCACTACGTTTGTTATTTTGTCACGTACTCAACACAAACAAACCAACGCAGATGCCATTTTGAATGAGCGGGACGGGAGGATAAATAGAAATTAAAAAATCAGAAACTGTGTTGCCATTAAGGAATTTATCTTTTATTTATTATTAATTTTAAAATCTACAAGTATGTTTTTAAAATAATTTTAAGTGATAAAATAATTTTCAGATGACTAAAATTGATTGGTTGTATAACCTAACCACTGTTTGGAAAACAATTTGAGCTATTATCTTTTAATGGCAAAAGTAACTTGTTTTTAACATGTTTTTTTTGTGAACAAAGTGTTATCGTCATAGCCTTTTTGTGGGTTAAGTTTTTGCGAATTGTATCATGTGTATACACCCCACAAAAACATTCATAAACGAGAAAGAAAAAAGGTTAGCAATGTATTTTAGTTCGGAAAGATTGGAGGAAGAATTGGACACTACTTTTTTACTTTAGAGGGGGGCAGACGAGCAGATGGATCATGGATGAAAAGTGACCATCGTCGCCCATGAACGTCAGCAATTTAGGAGTCACAAACTTGGTGCCGGCCTTTACTTAAATTAAAGGAGTACTTAAATTATCGAACTATTTGTCGATGTAGAACAACACGTGATAGGACTCGAACTATCCAACAACTGTCAGTTCGACTTATAGTTTGTGACCCTGACTTACTCAAGCTATTACCTACACTCCTAACCTAACGTATACTTCTAAGCGATATCCCTTTTCTACCCTGCCCTTCCTTCATTGACTAGCCTATCAGTCTACTGGTAAGTGACCCTGACTGCTAAGTCAGAGGTCGTCGCTTCGATTCTCAAACAGGACAAACACTTATGTGCAGAGCACAATCTTTTAATCAATGTCTGGGTGTCATTTATCTATGTTTTTTAAAATGTATAAGTATGCTTATCGGCAGTCTGGTTCCATTAGTATAAGCTCTGGCTAGTTTGGGACATTAGGAATTGCGCGCTTTGACTTTAAGCTCCGAACCGGTTTTTTTTTGGATTCTGTCCTGAAAGTTTCACTTCATTAAAAAATAAAATCGTTAATTTATGTAAAATTTATGAATGAACAGAATCCGTGCGGTGATGGATTAAGAAACGGAGTGTCACCTCTATTCATCCCGTTGGTCTCGTAAGGGCCAACGAAGGGAGCAAATTAAGCAAGACAAGAAAAAATTGAAACAAACCTTATACCAAAATATCGATCCCTTGGGGTTTCGTAGAGATGTGGCTTCACTCTGCACTCTCTATCGCATATTAGCATGTAGAGTGCTCCGAGGAATTGTTCGGACTAATACCAGCCGCAACTTTCCGCTATCGTCCCACAGCAAAATGTTCATCCTTGTCACCTGGATAGTTGGCGCTCCACTAATGTGCTCTTATTGAGACACTTTTTGCCCCGCACAACCAATCTGTGGAACGGGTATCTGCGGTATTTCCGGACCGATACGACCTTCAAACCTTCAAGAAAAGAGCGTACTCCTTCCTAAAAGGCTGGCAACGCATTAGCGACGCCTGAGTTGCAGACATTCATGGGCGGCGATGTTCACTTTCCACCAGGTGACCCGTCTGCTCGTCTGCCCCATCTAACATTAAAAAAAACATCAAGACAAAAGGCAGGTTATTGGCAATTTTTTATATGTGCATCACTATTCGTTGTGAAAAGGATTAAATCCGTTCAAAACTCAAAGCGTTGTTTACTTACTCTTACTGGAACAAACAAGCACTGTTTCATTTTACATCGTGTAAATTAGTTTCTTTTGCTTTTAATAATAGGTTTGCAATAATGCAAGTGGTGAATAATCCCCTTTTAAGTACGTTTTCAAAAAGTTTTCGGCTTTACGTTTTTCTGAACAGAATAAAATTCCTAATGTTGACAGAATGTCAATCGATTGTCAGTGTCACGCCCGAAGTTATAATTTTGCCTGTTTTCTTTGAAAATATTTATAAAAATGAAAACTTTTTGTCACATAAACTATTATAGAAAATTATTCAAGAATATCCGACTGCAAAGATACTATTCAACTAGTGAAGGGGGCAACAAAAATAATGTCAATAATATACGTAATATTGGCATCTTAGCGCACATAGATGCAGGTTATAATCATTATTATATCAAAATAATTGTATTATCTACTAAATATAATAAAAAGTACAGTTTAGAAGTACAATATATGTACGAAGAATTTTCATTTATGATTTCGCTAATTGTATACAAATCATTTCATTCTAGGCAAAACCACTACGACAGAACGAATGCTGTTCTATTCCGGTACTATTAGATCTATGGGGGAGGTGCACCATGGAAATACTGTCACAGACTACATGGAACAAGAGAGACAAAGGGGAATCACAATCATGTGTAAGGATAACTTAAAATATTAAAAATTATGAATCCTATTTAATTTGTAATCATGAAGAAATAGTGCAAAACAGCTGACAAATGACTATTACAATTAAGCTCGAAGGTGACGAATTTAGCTTGCGCTTATGGCTTCGTACCCATTATAAAATGTCTATCAATTTTACAGGATAAAAGTAACCTAACCTAATTCCAGACCATAGTCATAGAGAATGGACTGAGCATAATCCTTACAAAAGTCACTACTCTCTAGAAAGAGACAAAGCGACTGTGTGGCCAATACCTATCTCTTTCCTGCAACAGTAGTATAATATCAAAATAATTGATTTTTTTTTTTTGCTTATCTGAACAAGTTTAGGTACTTTTTTAACTTAAACGTAATCTACAATAATTTACATAAAATATATACACTTGATATTCATAACCTTCCTTATTTGTAAACTTACCCAGTGACATGAACCAATTAGAATACTAGAAAGAGACAACTACTGGCCGCACATTCACTTTGTCTCTTTCATACTTTTTAGTCTGTATTCACTGCACAGCTAAATTAGGAATGTGCAGTCCATTCTCTATGCCTATGTTCCAGACTAATGTGTTAAACATCTATTCATCCAAATAAACTGGAGTAATCAGTTGGTAGTTGAATGTAAACCATAAGCAATTACAAATTATATATGTAATCATATAAAACCTAATCAGTGAATGTTGTAATTTGAGATAAAATTTGTAAAATTTTAATTATATTTACTTATAAGATTTGTATAAATTAAAAACAAAGAAAAGAGATTCCAACGAATGGAGAACCGCCTCCTTTTATTGAAGCTGGTAAAAAAATATTGTTTTTTAGCTTTTTTTAAGGAAAGTTTATTATGCACACATTTGTCTTCAGGTAATGATGGTTAATAATCTTACCTTGATTGTTCTCCAGCTATACTTATACTTAATTTGTTCCTTCACATGTCTTAGTCTTTCTAATTGAGATACTAGTAAAAATTATTATTATTATTTTATAATTCACTATCAGATCAGATCTGATGCGTGCATATCACTGCACTTGTGTTCATTTTGTAGTTTTTAAATGTTCCTCTAGTCTGTTTTAAAAAAGTTCACTGATCCAGCACTAATTACACTTTCCGGTAAACTATTCCAAATGGTCATTACGCGATTTGGTAGAAAGTGTCTTCTAAGGTTGCTTACAGACCTGAATACCAGAACCTAATAAAATTACTCAAAATATTTCCACAAACAGCTGCCGCAGTATCATTTCCCTGGAAGGAGAGTCAAATAAACCTCATAGATACACCAGGACACATAGACTTCACCATGGAAGTGGAACAAAGCCTTGCAGTATTAGATGGGGCTGTTATTGTTTTGGATGCTTCTGCCGGTAAGATTTATTTTATCTAATGCCAACTGAACTGAATTATTATCCGGTAATGAGAACGAAATTTCCTATATACTATACTATTACTTCAGACATATTACACAAGGTCGCCTGATCCCATACTATGCAGTGCCTGTACTATGCTACGTGCCTGCATTCGGTCGCAAGGCGGGAATTGAGTCCCGCCTGTCACCACTGCGATTGCAGTGAGGACTTAGCTCATCACACGCTGGCAATTTGCCCGGCTTGGGCGTCGCAGCGTCGGGTCCTCATTGCAGTTATTGGAGAGGATCTCTCGCTACCGGCCGTCATACGCTCCATGGTCGGTAGTGACAGATGTTTTACCGCGGTCGTATTCTTTTGCGAAAGCGTCATCTTGCAGAAGGTGGCGGCGGAGAGTCCCCGGGAGGATGACCTCCACTCAGACCGAACGGCGAACCGGGCGGCGGAGGCGCGCTTACCAGCGCCTCATGCCGTCTTGAGTGTGGCCGCGGGTGGACGGGACGGGTTTTCTCTTCTATTCGCTATTGTGACTAGCCGTGAGGATGCGACGTCCGCTTGTGTCGGACATCGCCTAAATAGAAAAAACCACACGTTAAAAAAAAAATATAACCAGAATGCTGATAAACATACTTATATATTTCTAACTAAAAACATTTGTTGTGGGTGGGAATCGAACCTGCGACCTCCAGCTTACTAGTCGTGTAATGTATGTATGTGTATCATAGGAGTGTTGAAGCATATCATATTGTTATTTAATGAAGATTATGGGATATACCAGATATTATAATGTCACAATAACAAGACTTTGATTTAGAAATACAATTTCTACAACCCGATTGTCATTTCATTTGACTGCACTGATGGCGTAGTGGTTTAAGCGGTCGCCACGCCGCTTCCTACTACGCCGAGTATTGTGGGTTCAAACCCCACATGGGACGACACTTTGTGTGATCCACAAATTGTTGTTCTGAGTCTGGGTGTTCTTTGTGTCCGTTTCATGTATGTTTGTAAAGTCCCCCGCGACACAGGATTTATTCCTAATGCGGGAGTTGTCTTTAAAAAAAAAAAAGAAAAAGAAAGAATTCTATTCTATTCCTCATTTCAAGAAAAAAAAAACAATATTATTTAAATTTAGAATAGAAATAAAGCAGAGCTTGTACTATGAAAGCTTGATTGACTAATAGAATACTTTTTACTTTTTTTATTGTACAATACATACATATTATACTTAGAAACACCCAAACTCCGAAACAAATATTTGCAGTTTCAGATCATACAAACGTTCGGTCCGACACGGGAATCGAACCCGACACCTTCGCACAGCAGTCGCATAAGCTACCACTGCACCACCGATGCAGTTTAAACCCTAAGCATTCAGAAATCTATTTAGATGTACATGAAAAGAAAATTGTATGTATTGCTCTTTTCTCTATCTCTATCAATTCTCCTTATATTGTTTCCACACAGGGGTAGAAGCCCAAACCCTCACAGTCTGGAGACAAGCTAGCGGTTACCGTGTTCCCCGAATCCTGTACCTGAACAAGATGGACCGAGGTGATGCATTTCCCACAGCTTGCGCGAACTCAGTGAGGGACAAGCTACAGGCTCAACCACTTTTGCTGCATACTGATGTAAGACATGAAGATAAACTCATTGGTAAATATCATATTCAAAGGTCTGTCTGTTTGTTTGTTACCGATCATTATGAATTTTCCATAGAAATTGCCAGGCGTGCATTTTAATTTAAACTAATTCGCAGGTAGAAGCTATAGCCCATTCGCGTTAAGAAAAGTGTGACGTATATATTAAGCCCCGCCCCCTGACCAATCGGATTCCAAGAAGTTATCGTTTCATACGAAAGCTTGAAACCTAATTGGTCAGTATGCGGCGCTTCATCGATTGCGTCACTATTTTCTTAAAGCGAATGGACTATAGGTAAACTTAGTGTAGGACGCCCACAGGCTAGGTGGAGTGATAATTTGCGCAGGAAATCGATAACAGTGGCGTGCAATGGAAGACGCCTATGTCAAGCAGTGGACAGCGATAGGCTGATGATGATGAGAAATGGACTATAGTAGTATTATTATATTAACAGTCAACGCAAAGACATACTGAGTTTCAGTATGTACTGTGCCTTTTAAAAATATTCATTCATTGATCATGATGCTCACAGTTCTTGTAAAATTAATATACCTTTATGTTAAGGCTCAGTTTTAATTCGGTAGTATTGGTGAGACTAGGTGGGATGTGAACTCGCAACCGTTGGATTGCAATTGCAACATCTTAACTGTAACGCTACCTACCTGTTTGTTCTGGTTAATCTCTGGAACGGGTGGACCGATTTCTATGGAACTTTCATTGACAAAAATTAGAGTTTCGCGGTATTAATTTAAATTTTAATCATTAACAATATCAATGCTTTCAATCCTCATAAATTCGAAATGGACTGCTCAGAGGAAGCCATGTAATTATTTATTAATTTATAGGTCTCATTGATTTAATAACACTAGAAGAAGTGATATGGACTCAAGGTCGTGGCAAGAACTATGTGCGAAGAAAACTGTCAGAAGAGTCAGACGGGCACAAATGGGAAACAGCAATGTCGTACCACAAGGACCTGATAGATACACTATCCAGCTTGGATGACCAGCTAGCAGAAACTATTATAGCCCAAGAGACCTTGGACATCAGTGCTAAGGAGTTAGAAGCTGCTGTCAGAAGGGCTACCTTGTCTATGAAAGCATTTCCATTACTTTGTGGCAGTTCTTATAAGAACATTGGTGTTCAAACTTTAATGGATGGCATCGTTTCATATCTTCCATCTCCTGCTGAGGGTCATAGGTTGTATAAGAGCTTTGGAACGGACCTGGCTGCGAGAGCATTCAAAGTTCAGCATGATGATCAAAGGGGGGTGTTAACTTTCATGAGGCTCTATAGTGGAGAGATCAGTAAGGGACAGAAGATTTACAACTTGGGGCAGGACAAGAGTGAACAGGTTAGATGTATTCTTTAATACATTTTAATTGATTTAGCTGATGCTTATTGTTACTGCAATAAAAAACGTTGGGAACACCCATACAGTGTACAGTGAATACAGACCGAAAAGTGCGAGAGAGACAAAGCGAATGCGCGGCCAGTACTTGTAATAAAATCTCTTGGGGCACTGGCCTTTGTTATGACAGTAAATTATTCTAAAATATTGTAGTAGGTGAAGGTTTGGGTTTATAGACACTTGATATTCCTACGATAAGATGATTTAGGAAATTGATGATATATAGTATACTACTATGATAAGTAAAAACTTAAGGCTTGCAGAAAAGAGATAGCTATTGACCGCACAGTCGTTTTGTCTCTTTCTAAAGAGTGGTCACTTTTGTGAGGATAATACTCACTCACTAAAATAGTATTTTTTTGCTTTTAAATCGCGGTCTTGTTTGTGGAGTTGCTTTGAAGTTAGTAATGTTGATGATTTTTTTTATTTTTTTACAGATTGGAGCATTGTATATAGCCCTGGCTGATGAGTACGAACCTGTGGACAGAGTTACCGCAGGGAATATAGCTGTTGTCAGTTCTTTAAAGGTAGCCATTTTATTTTTTTGATAAAGAAATGTATGTTGAATGGTCAAAATGCTGCTACCTTTGCTTTGTACCTATTTATAGTTTCAATATAATTGTCCTATATTTAATTCCTATGTATGTATTTAATTATTTTGTGTGTGGGTTAATGGAGTGTAGACATCAGGAATAACTTAAAAGTGCGTATTTTTACATCAAATACACTATGTAACAGAACTACTTCTGTAGTCCCATGGCACTCATCATCATTATTTTTGCCCTACATCATATTCCAGTATAATTGTATCGGGTGGTGATGAAGTGAAGATGTGAGGGGAGGCCACCTACTTTTTTAGGTTAACCGGGGTTTCCCTCAGCCAAGATCGATCCCACATACCGAAATACCGTATTGTGCTATTGTTGCGACGACCAGAGGAGGTTTCCAAAAATTCGAACCCTCACCCTTCGTTCCAATAGCAGCTACCATAACCAACATAGTCTTCCCCAGGCCACCATGTCTGGCGACCTGATTACATCCACGCAAGCGGCTGCCAACCGCGCCAAGACTCACCTGGCGAAACTGCTCCAAAGTCGTAGCAGTAAGGACGAGCTGATGTTGCCCAGCGCTCGTCAAAGGATCCAGGCTATGGAGTCAGAACCGACTTGTGAAGAATTAGCTGGTGTTTTGTTGGGAATTGGTGAGTTCCTTTTGTCTCTGTATATTTCTGATAAGACCTTAGAAGCCCTGAAAATTACGTTTGTCGCCTACCGACTTTGATTACCAGCCACTATCATCACATCAGCTCTCCTAATGCAATGCTGTTATTAGATAGCAAGTAGGAACGGCAGAGTCCATCTTGGGTCTACAAAATTGACACCAACCAAACAAAACAGTTTACCCTCAGGTGGTGAATTGGTACACCTTGAAGTTTCTCTTCAAAAAGACAACTCCCGCACTAGGAATATATCCTGTGTCACGGGGGATTTTACAAATATACATGAAACGGACACAAAGAACACCCAGATTCAGAACAGCAACTTGTAAATCACACAAAGAAGTATTGTCCCATTTGGGGTTGGTTGTGGGCTTCGGTTTCCGCATTTAGACTCAAGAGTGGTCCTTTATGCGTCGATGATTGGTTAGCTAGGTGAGCCAACCACGCTCCTTTTAGAAGCGCTGAAGCCTCCTGAGGCGTTCACAGGCTTCTAGGAGCGATTTTGTATCGGGGATCGAACACACAATACTCAGCGGAGCAGAAAGCGACGAGGTGACCACTTAAACCACTACGCCATCAGTGCAGTCGAATGCCAGAGCTCAGCTCATTTTGTTGAAATCCCCAGGTACAACAATTCCGGAGCCAGTGTTCTTGTGTTCCATCGAACCTCCGAGTTTAGCGCAGCAGACAGCTTTGGAAACTGCGCTGACAGAACTGCAGAGAGAAGACCCCAGTCTTAGGGTCACCACGGATGCTGAAAGTGGACAGATGATCCTCGCCGGTAAGTACATAAGGATATTTTTTTATATATGAAACAATGCGGAGGCCCAAACCGGCTATTGCTGTGGCGACGCGTCACCATACGCAAGTGAGACAGCGTCTTTCTCACGCTGATTATCAAAATGATTTTATACACATTATTTCAATCAAATAATTTCGGTGTATCATATCATCCAGACGTCTCGCGATGGCTCAATTTTGGGCTGTTCCACTAGTCCCTACCAGCTGTCCCTCCTGGTGACAATTTTTTTTCCAATCTTACCTACCAAACCGTCACTGGTTTCTTCGTTTTCCTTCATCACCGTCATTCCATCATCATCCGTTTAGACGGGAAGAGTGGAATTTCATTTCCACTTATCCCTACTAATAAAATCTTAACGTGTTCTTGTACAGCTTCAATCATAATAGCTTTTCATGAAGTTCATATTTGGGACCCCACCAGGAGGGACAGCTGGTTGGGACTAGTGGAACAACCCTCAATTTTGTAAATTCATAATAAACAGTAAAAAAAAAACATCTTTTTACAACGTTTTATTACCACCTACCGACTATTACTTTTTCCAAAATTTTAGTGGGTAAAAAATTCAATTCCCGAGAGGCATTGTTGCCTCCCGTCCAGCTGATTTTTACAAGAAGTGCATCAATAAACTGCCAATGCGTTGGCAAAGATGCGTCGATTGCATGGGTGATTACTTCGAATAACAGAAATAAAAAAGTTTGAAAAAATAAGTACTTTTACTTATTGCATACAAAACGGCAATTTCATAGGTAAAGACCTAATATATGGAGGGTCCCTAATTACCTAATTTAGACGCAATAGTAAAAGAATTCAAAAATATTAAATTTAGGTGTCTTAATAAAAAAGAACTCTTGGTCCTAGGCATGGGCGAGCTCCATCTTGACATCATCAAGGAGCGTATCATCAGGGAGTACAAAATTGACGTAGAACTTGGACCACTCCAGATAGCGTACAGAGAGTCACTACTGGGAACGTCCCGTCACACGCAGGCGGTGGACAGGAAGATAGGGGGGCTCAAGCAAATGTGCAAGGTCACCATGTCTGCGAAGACCATTAAGGGCGTACCCCACGATAATTTGTTAAAGTGAGAGTTTTTTTAAATAAGAATTTGTGATTTTGGAGATGCGGTATACCGCAGGCGTACTGGTAGTTACTGTTTTTTTAAATTTATGTAAGCAATAAAAAAATATATTTGGAACTATCTTTGGGATTGCACAGGAGTTACAACTTTCCTTGAATACGACAACAACAAAACCTCTCCTGGCCATCTAGCCATAGCATCTATAGCCATCCATCCAAACCTCCGACCGCTTCTTGTCTGACTGACTACAGGTTAGACAAAAGCGGCGACAGTGCAGCCAACCTCTCCCACCTACACCCGCGGAGCCTCCAGGCCATCAGACAAGGAGTCAACACGGCGATCATGCACGGACCTAAACTTGGATGCCCAGTGAGTTATAACAATCAATATTTTCTCCTCTATTTTATCTCTGACAGTTTCCTTGCTTTTTTCAACCTATCAATTCATTCTTGCAATTATTTTAGGTTTTCGACTGCACGGATGGCGTAGTGGTTTAAGCGGTCGCCGCTTCCTACTGCGCCGAGTGTTGTGGGTTCAAACCCCACGGGACGACACTTTGTGTGATCCACAAATTGTTGTTCTGAGTCTGGGTGTTCTTTGTGTCCGTTTCATGTATGTTTGTAAAGTCCCCCGCGACACAGGATTTATTCCTAATGCGGGCGTTGTCTTTTAAAAAAAAAAAAAAAACCCTTTCCTTGCAATTCCAGGTGGTTGATGTTCAAGTAACGCTGCACTGGTTCGAGATGGGCCGCGGCACATCCGATTCCGTGGTCACAGCTACAGTGGCGCAGTGTCTACGGAAGGTGAGTCTAATCCCGTGACGTCTTTTTTGTTAATACGCTAATTGATCATCGAAGATCTTTTTCGCCCTTTTCATACGACGAGTAGGGAGTATTTTATAGCAATAAAACCACACCACATACTCAGAACGTAGGTATTTAATGAATATTATCGTGGCTTCTTATATATTCTATGGTAACAAAACGATAGCGTGACTTTAAAATCAACGTCAACGCCATCTATCGAGACATGAGGTAAACTTTGCTTACAAAATTGACTTAATGTTTAGGTTTGATTTCTAAAATACTATGACGTGAACACTAATTTTTTGTTAAATCGCAGACATCTGCTTTTTCTTGTAGTGCTTATTCCTTATGGGTTTGCTTTCTATTTTTTTTTTTACCTTATCTGTAGCCAGGCGCAATATTTGTTTGAGTAATGTAAATAAAAGTAAAATTTAAAATTCTTTGGGCTTAAATATTCATTAAGTTTCTAAAATGCAACGTTTTCATATTAAAATTTAATTTGGTTTATTAACTTTATTATAAAAAAAAAAAAAAAAATTGTCTATTCTATAACTTAGACCAAGGGACCGAGCGTCCCCAGGTTCGATTCCCCTGCGGTGCAAGATTTATAAGGCGCGGACTCTGTCATATCAGGAAGAAAAATAATCATCTAAAAATATGCCTAGAGTACTTTGCATTACCAGAACTTAAAAAACTTTAGGAAAAAAACAGCTTTACCGAAAAATGAATTTAAAAATACGCTAAGAAGTGTCTTTACAATATAATTCTTATTATAATGTTTTAATGTCACGGCTTTAGTTCACCTCTATAAAAAGCACACGTTTACAACTGTTTTTTAACCGACTTCAAAAGGAGGAGGTTATCAATTCAGATGTTTATATGTTACTAGCTGATCCTATAAACGTTGTTTTACCATATACATTATTTCAATTTTTTTTTGTCAAAAAAAAATGGGGATGAAAAATAGATGTTGTCTGATTCTCAGACCTAACCGATATGCACACAAAATTTCACGAAAATCGGTCGAGCCGTTTCTTAGGAGTTCAACTTCTAACACCGTGACACGAAAATTTTATATCTATACTAATATTATAAAGCTGAAGAGTTTGTTTGTTTGTTTATTTGAACACGCTAATCTCAGGAACTACTGGTCCGATTTAAAAAATTCTTTCAACGTTAAATAGCCCATTTATCGAGGAAGGCTATATATCATCACGCTAAGACCAAAAGGAGCGGAGCACCAATGAAGAATGTTTCAAAAACGGAGAAAATTTATTACTATTGAGAGACGCAGACGAAGTTGCGCGGGTCAGCTAGTATAAGATATGTTCGGGCATAACTCCGTCGTATATAGACGGATTCACAAAATTATTTTTTGTTCGGAAGGGGTTTATTCCGAAATGGTAATGGGAATGAATGGTTAAATTTCATACAGATCTGATGATGAGTTTCGGAGACAGACAACGAAATTCTTCAAAAAATGACAGCAAATGAATCGCGATTGCTGCTAGGTTTTTAGTGTTCTTTGTTAGTATTGTTCGAAGACGGTTCAACTCTAAAGACAACTCCCGCATTAGGAATACTCGTGTATGTCCTTGTATGTCCTAGGTCTAGTGGTTAGTGACCCTGACTGCTAAACCGGAGGTCGTGGGTTCGATTCCCACCCGGGACAAATATTGTGTGATGAGCACAGTCATTTTTTCTATGTCTGGGTGTAATTTATCTATAATATGTATATATTTAAAAATATATAAGTATGTTTATCAGCAGTCTGGTTACCATAGCACAGAGATCAGATGGCCTTGTCTGAGATGTGTGATATATATTATAATTCATGAAACGGACACAAAGAACACCCAGAATCTTAACAACAATTTGTGGATCACACAAAGTGGTGTCCTATGCCCGGGCACTGTCGATACAGAACCGGCAAAAAAAAGAAAAACAGAGATAGATATTCCATGACGTGTCACCCGATGGAAAATGACTACCGCTCCCCTTGGACACCTGCAACTCCAAGAGTTATAAGTGCCCTCCTTTTTAACCCCGCCACCGTCCCAGAATCAGTTTGGGCTATGGTGAACTTGTTAAGGTCTCGGTGTTAGACGATAAATAAAAGTGGACTGTATGTTGCGCTGGTTTTTAATGATCACAAGAGGTACGTTGAAGGAGCAGTGATCCCGTTCGAGTATATAAAGCGAGTGTCGTACATAATAGCAATCTTGGTGGGCTGCCTCCCCGTCACCCGCGCCGCACGCCGTTTGCGCGGTTCAGCCGCTTGTAAGCACCGGCAAACCGTGATGTCGAGGATCGAGGTTTGATTCTCGACAGAACTCATTCACTCGGTGGATGCTTGCCACCGAGTGAATGTTTTCTGTTAGTCATTCGTGCCGAAGCATCCGAACTTCTCCTTACTCTTATTCTACATCATTGAATATTATCCTGTCCAGGTATTTGAAGAGTCAGAATCAGTACTGCTTGAACCTCTAATGTCATTAGAAGTGGTGTGTCCTGAGAGTCACTCGTCACGTGTTCTGGCGGACCTCGCGAGGAGACGCTCGCAGATTCAGCATATACAGATGAGACATCAGAACAAGGTATGGAGAGTCAGGGCTATAAGAATTTATTAGAGTTACCATGTCGTGTCTTTGGTGTTGAGCCATTATCATCATCATCAACAGCCTTTAATAGTCCACTGCTGGACATAGGGCTCTCCTTAGAAATGAAATTTTGACCTATTATACCACGCTTGCCAGACGGTTTGGTATAGGTTTCAAGTTTTCCTTATCTTTGAAGTGATGTTGACCATAAAACTTTATGTTAAAAAGTTATGTGTGTATTCTTACCAACTATATCGTTAAGTGTAGAGTAAATAATACCAGCGACGTAGGCATAGTTTAAGAATTTATTCAATTATGGCTTACGTTAAATATGAGCCATTGTTTTTGTGTTTATTTTTCAAGTTGCAACAAATATTTTGAAACCATGTTTATGAATTAGGTGTTGTTACACATTTTTCCCTAAGGAAAAAACTCTCCTTTCTAAGGAGAGGCCTATGTCCAGCAGTGGACTAGTAATGGCTGTTGATGATGATGATGACACATTTTTCGGCCTCGCTCTCATCCGCTCAGAGCGTGCTCCGCTCAAAGCGTCCCTTTACTGTTAAGCTGATTATCATTAAACTTTGTAAACACATTGTTAAGACTACAGAGAACTACATCAGGTACTGTCGTACACAGAAAAAATATAGTCCCAAAGGAATATCGTAAGTCAGTAACAAAATCTCTAATAGAGAGAGCAAATCTGCATGCAATTTACTTACCCTGAGTGACTGATTCATCAACGCAGCCAGGGTCAGGGGCCTACTAAACCGCTGGGGTTACAAAATTACAATTTTAGCAGCTGATTTTATTTATGGAAGAGGTAGCATACGAGCAGACGGGTCAAATGATGGAAAGTGATTACCGCTGCCCATGCACGCCTGCAACTCAGAAGTCACAAGCGCCTTGCCGGCCTTTGATGCTTTTAATGTTCTAAGCATGAAAGGATTTTGGAAATTTCACCCCAAAGGGGGTCAAATAAGTGATATAAGAAATAATTTCTATTACAGGTAGTAGATTGCCTCGCTCCTCTCTCGGAGCTGCTGGGCTACTCCACCACTCTCCGCTCACTCTCCTCCGGACTCGCCTCCTTCACGATGGAGTTTCATTCTTACCAGCAGATGTCAGCTTACGACGAAGAAAAAGCCATAAAGAGTGTCACTGGGTTTTAGCATGTCCAGACAATGCTGCCTAGTCCCTCAAACACATGAAAAAGGATGAATAATAATGTTCTTCTTTCCTTGTATATATGTTAATAAAACTTAATAAAATCTTGTGACCTTTATTAAGAAATTAATCAAATTATATAATACGTGAAGGGGGGGGGGGGGGGGGGGCAGGTCACGCTCCACACGCCTTTTGGTGTGTGAGTTACATCCGTACACTGCACTGGGAATATAGGGATACAGGGAAGAGAGCTTGGAGAGAAGCGCCTTATGCCAGACCCGATCGAAGGCCTTCGCTATATCTAAACTTACCGCACAAGCCTTGCCCTTGGTCTCGATAGCTTGTGCCAGCCGGTGTGTTATAAAAAGATAAGCTGACTGGCTCCGGCGAAATCCATATTGTCAGTCATTGAGTAGCTGGTGGTTAAGCCATACCATAAAGTTACTATTAAAACTTATTTGTAAAAAATAAACCAAATGCGTAGTTATCATATTTATTCAAATATTTATTGATTTATTTTACATTAAACAATAATGTTTAATTTATTCAAATTACACTATTAATAAATAAATACGACAATCAATTTACAATTTCGCTATTCTATTACTTAAAAAAATATTATTTAAGCAACAAAAACACACCTTAAATAGATTTTTTGACATATTGTAAGTAGTGATGTACCGGATTTTAATAATTTAAGTTTTAAAAAAATCACAGATTTTCTTAACTTTAAATTGTGATAGATTGTATTAAATAAACTATATTCCTCATTCCCTAATTTTTGCTGTTAAAAGTGGAATTTTTCTTCAAATTTAAAAAGGACCAAATAGGCAGTAGGTACAGTGAAATTAGTCTCGAGAAATTTTTGCATATGTAGTGGTGTGTATATTACTCAGATCTTAGAGCGCGTTTCCACTATATCGTTCTGGCCTATACAAAAATGTTTCGATATCCTAACATTACTATTTAATTTTATACTTATCCCTAGCAACACTCTGATTTTTGTTTTCAATAAAAACAAGTTTTTATTTTAAAGAAAAAGGTTTTGACTTTATAAAAAAAAAGGTGTGTGTGCGATTCACACACGATAGAAGTAAACTGAACTTCAAAGAGGAGAGACCGATATTAAATTTTTTTTTTCCTTTTATCTAGGTTTTTAAAACTCCAGGGGGTCTACGGGGGGGGGGTCAAAATTTTTGTTATTTTTGGCCTAGGACGCACCGTTTCCGAGATATTTCAATCTAAAGCAAAAAATCGTCACTTGATAGTGGAAAGTGAAAACACGCACAAAACCAGAATAAACCAGTTTACGCTGTCCGTACCATACACTACTACAAACGCAAAAATTTCTCCAAGCTAATTTACCTGTACATTCTTTCAAATAAAAAAAGAATTATTCCAGATCGGTTTATAAAAAAATGACCACAAACAAACAAAAATACAGCCGATTTGAGAACTTCATCCTTTTATTGGTCGTTTAAAAAGGTGTATTCGCACACAGATACACATACGGATTTCAAGTTTTTCTCAAATAGGGCAAATACACGTGACTTTAAAACGATAGTTGACCATATGTTTCGACTGACACTGTACGAAATTTTTAAATAAATTCTATTAATACACATATATTACGATACAGATGGTATGGTTCATATACAGATATCCGCTGGTTGGTATACAGATATCCGCTGGTTCGTATACAGATATCCGCTGGTTGGTATACAGATATCCGCTGGGTCGTATACAGATATCCGCTGGGTCGTATACAGATATCCGCTGGTTCGTATAAAGATATCCGCTGCTTCGTATACAGATATCCGCTAGTTCTGATACAGATATCCGCTGGTTGTTATACAGATATCCCACACATCTCATATAATAGCAACGCAACGAATAAACACAGCTACAAGTAAACTGTTAGCTTCAGAGTCCCAACAGGCTAACTCCGGGCCAGGTATTCAGGCTAACTCCGAACTTGGTAACAGGTCGTTTTATAATTTTGACTGCGACTGTCGTTTATGGTTCGTAATTATTGTGATGGTGCCTGAAAATAAATGATTAAATATAAATTTTGTTTTATTTATTACAAACGTCAATGGTCGGTAACGCGCTTGTGACTTTGTAGGCGTCCCTGAGCGGTGGTAGTTACATACCATCCGGTAACTCGTATGTTTGTTTGCCCCCTGTACCATGAAAGACAACCGGGCAGGCCTCTACTCGTTCAGTTTATGCCATAGACAAGGAAGCTTTAATTGGCCTGATGTTAGCCTATTTTAATTTATCCGCATATATACAAGATACCTATTTTCGTGTCCATAAATTAACAGTAGCTATGTATCATTGCTATCGTTTCATTTACTTATACATTTGACAATGAAATTATAGTTTAAAAAAACTAAAAAACACGTTTTCTATAGAAAACCAAACTAAAAAATAGAAAATAAATTTGAAAAAAAGCGTTGGGTGCCTGTTGTCAATAGTAAAAAGCACCCCACGCTTTTTTTAGTTTTTTAAAACATTTTTTTTGTAATTATTGTGTTGTCATCGGTCCTCGATGTATCTACAAAGTTTAAACGAATTCTGACCGCTTAAAGTCGGTCAAAATCACGCCCAAAGGAGTCGGTTACAAACATACTAGTGAAGCTAATATAAAGCGTGTAAAAAAAACTGAAGGAAAGATTATTACATAACGGATTAAGTGATCCATGCACTTACCATGAACAAGTTGTCCAGTTCTTCCTTCAAGGTCTCGTGTCTGAATGAGATCCTGACATCGGGCACATTGGTGTGAGTGATGTCGTTGCCCGCTGGACCCTCTTGCATGTACTCCGGCCCTAGCCACCGTTGTTTCTGCTGTACACAAAAACAAACATACAAATGTATATTTTTATTGATTACTACTAATCTACAGGCCTTTCAGTAGACATAGGTATATCAGCGATATATTGTAATCAATCTTTTTAATGCGTGATACATTTTTTTCCCCATCTTGGATAACAGTGGTCGTCCCTCATCAAGTTTATTCAAACCCTAATACCTAAAAAATCCAGGTACAAAGCGATAAAGTCTTAAAATACCAAATGAATTTTCTTACGGTTAGCAATGAATAGTAACAAGTGCGTTACAGACGCGGGACTTTATAATAAGTAGGTATTAGAAAATTTTACACGCAGTTGCGGCCTTAGCCATCGCGAGGCCCTGGGCGGATAGTTCATTGCGAGGCCCTTGTCTTTGTGGAATTAGTTTTAATAATAATACTTGCAATCAAATAAAAACATACTTCTGCTTGAACACAAAAGCATAGCATAAGCCGACGACAGTTGACACTGTCAAAATGAAACACGGGAATTCCCTGAACGTAAATTTAGCGCAAGTATCGTCAGTTTGATAGTAATGAGTTTATAATCCAAAAGGTAAGGCGCAAAGTTCATATATATTTTTTTCTTTGGGTTGTTTCGCGAGTGCGCGAGGCACCGGGCGGTTGCTCTGCTCGCCACCTCCAAAGGCCGTCCGTGTTTATATGATGCAGAAGAAAATTTAGCGCATAACACTAATGTCTAAATACCTGCCCTTAGCAGAAGAGTTTTTAGGAAACATGTACCCAGGTCTGATTGTAAACGAATGCTTAAATTCTAATGCTAAAATTCATACCTCGTGTGAGAATCCTGACATGAGGACAGAATTCATGGCTAGCTCGCACATATCGCAAGAGCTGAACTTCCACGCCTGCGCAGCGATACCATACTCCTCCATCAATGCTTCCTGAAAAAGAAACCAGTATTTACATACTAGTGTTCACGCCCACTTTTGCTGATTATAACTTCAGTTCCCTTTACATCATCAGGGCAAGCTTATTGCAACTATAGGAACTTACGTTTCGGAGTGTAAGTGAATACCTACCGTTTTCGAGCAAGTTACAACGCTATAGCTGTCTTAATACTTAAACTAAAAATAATAATAAATAACTTCATACATCCAAAACCATGTGCAATATCTATTCAGTCAGATAGTCTGCAGGTTTACCTTTGTGTAATGAAACTGGAGCGGGTCATCAGTACTGAGCGTGACTCTGAGTCCTCGCGCGAAGAAGTCGGGCAGCGGGTTGCGATGGTAGTTGAGGAACAGCGAGTTGTTGGAGAGGGGAGACATGGCGATGAAGATTTGAGACAAGTAGAAGATGTACTGGAACACAGGGTACTGTGAAAAAAAATGAGGATTTAACAAACATTATTTGGTAAATGATCACCGCCTCCCATAGACACCTGCAGCTGAAGAGATACAATTGCGTAAACGCTCATTGAGTTGTCTCCTCAAGAGCTCAAAAATGGTAGAAGAAGCGAACAAGGCGCTATAACATACCGTTAGAGAGAGAGAGAAAAAAGATTGTTTTGGTCTTGCATCTCTCTCTGCTCTTGTCACTGATTGGCTATTTTAAATGCCCTCTTCAGTATTAGCCAATCGGCGCAGAGAGCAAAGATAAATGAAATATAAAAAGAGTCTTCTTTCTCTGTTTACCGGTTGTACGCTACCACTTGCAGAGGAATATTTATTTATCAAAAAGAACAACCAGTTGCTGTTACATTAAATCTTTTTTTTTACTAAAAACCAAGCATTTTAAGCATATACAGTTAGTAATGTATTATCTCTATTGTTGCCTCCCCGCCATGAATCCAGAATTAGTGGAGTGGACCTTAAGACCCTAACCTAACACGGTGAAAGCAACCAAAGCATTGGTTAATTAAATATACTTCTACATTCTAATCGTGGTTGCAGTACTTCTTAACAATCTATCATACCTTTCTAAGCATAAGACCGTGCGAAATATTGTCGGCGAGAAGAAATCCGGAGCACAGATGCGCAGACGAGCCAGCTTCACCGCAGTGAGGCCGCAGCACAAAGGTATTTAAACCTTGTTCCCTGGAAAGATATACCTATATTTATATTTTGATAAACAAAAGAGTTGTTTGACACTGGTTTCCTGTGAGGCTGTGGTTTCGCTCCAGTCGACGATGATGATAAAAGAAGACATTTTAATTTTGACGTGTGTAGTTAAGAAGACGAAACATGTCAGTATCTACATTGTTCTTCTGTTTCTCGGCAGATCTTCTTGTTGTTTTATTGTTGTTAATCGAAAAAAGAGAGATTTCAATTTTATTTTATGGAAGTTTTTTGCTGTGTGTATTTTACGCGATTACTCTGCCATTTTAAGCCAAATTCTATAAATATGTAAAATATATTCCCACCCGCAAGGGTGGAAAATTAATGGATGAAGAATATAGTATATTACAATTAATTATGGTTTTGTCTCATCGAAGTCATCTGTTAGTTCAGTCACTAACTTTGTTTTTATTAAATATTTAAGAACAGCCATTGATGAGCCTCCGTGCTATCAATAAAAAAAACAACTGTTTTTATTGCTACCTTCGACAGTAACGGCCGAACTATAGTCGAACACTAGTTTACTTACTTCCTCAGTTGGTTGAGCACGGTCATATTGGCGTACATGTAGTAGAGGTAATACGCGTACGGAGGGTTCACCTCGTCGTCCCACTCCTCAGGAGACTTTAGGTTCTCCGACAGCGTCGCGTTCCCTGTCTTCGACTCATCGTCCACGCTGTCGAACCCGATCACATGCTGAAAAGTTGCAACCAATTCTCTTACATTCATCAAAAGGAGAAAACCAATTTGTGTGAAAAATATTTGTCGATAGCGAACAGGTTTTTTCTAAGAAAAAAATTAACTTACTAAATTCGAAAATCGGCTTATTTGTTGCCTTTAAGGCGGAACAGAGTTCGCCGGGTCAGCTACTTTTTCTATATAAAATAGATACAATAGATAAATGACTATTTGACAAAGCCTTGAAATACGGTTGCTATATATTACATGTATAATAATACTTACGTACTATCTTTTACCCGTGAATTCACTCGTGTCAAACTTTTATGTTTATCTCTAGGAAACATTACGTTTAACTATATTAGCTATTGTGTGTGTTGATCTATGAGTCTATATAAAAGACGATTTCAAACAATTTTTACTTCTTTCTGAAATAAACATATTGTTCAAGCGCCATAGGATTAAATGTTTCGACTGTTCCAGAATTGTATGGAATGTAAATAAATAATTCTTGTTTGTCTGGAACGGACTATCGAATACTAGGGATCATTCTAGTAAATTCGATAGCGTTTTACGAAATTTAAAAAGAAAAACAAAAAAATCACTATCACATTGTTCTGATAACCTTCTCTGCTTATTGATGTTTTGTTGATTACTGAGAGCCTTGATCAACACCTTAAAAGGCTCCCGTTAGATAGCTGGATCAAACGTCTGATGCAAAAGGAAGTTCTCCTCGATAGGGCCCGTATAGTGGGGAAGTTCCTCTCACTATAACTACATATAAGCAACAACTACCTACATAAAGCAATGGTAAGTATGTACTAAGTAACAAGTTTAAGATACCGTAAGAAACTTATTAAGTTCTGGGTTGCTGCTGGGGTTGATGGAAACCTTGAACAGTGGGTCAAACAAGTTGCTTATGAACTCCTGGAAGTTCTTCATCAGTTTCTTGTACCGATAGATGTCACTGTGGATATATTACGGTATAATGGCATAGGCATCAACTGCCAAAGAAAAATATCGAATTCTTATTTGACTATAATTTGAGTGTCTAAAATGTTATTCATAGGAAATGCATTCTAGTAACTTACGATAGTTACTAGAATGCATTGCACCGTCGTCTGCGTCAGTAATACAGGAGTAAAATAAAGAATATTATAAGCTTATGTGATTGTTTTAATTTCCTTTATCGGTTTAGAGTTTATCATATTACAGAAATTCTTTGGTAGGGAAAATACTGTCTAATAAAGTGGCGTAATATGCAAACAATGCAAGAAATCTTCTTTAAATGTTTTTCGTGCCTTTATTTGTCACATTTTATGAAAAAACACAAATAAAATTATTTCTAACCGTCAGATTTAAAATATCCTACAAAATTATCGTCAGATTTTTAGCTAGTATTATAATAATAATATTCTACCACATTCACACAACGCCATCTAGTCCCAAACTAAGCAGAGCTTGTACTATGGGTACTAGACAACTGATATAAATACATATATACTTTGTTTTTTTGTAAATACATCCATATTATACATAGAAACACCCAGACCAAATCAAACATCAAATGTTCATGCACACAAATGTTAGACTTGAGCGGGAATCGAACCCGCGACCTTTGGAATAGCAGTCCGTTACACAAACCACTATGCCATCCGGTCGTTATGAGAGTAACAGTATGAGAGTAACAGCAAGCTGAACCGTCTGCATAAAATCTAACACCCTGTGATATTTCGAAACGGTGATTTTTCAAATTTGCAGTTTGCGTTTTCGATAATTCGCTACGAGTGTGACACAACACTTTAAAATCGTCAGATCTTTCAATGAGAGCATTTTTGACGTCCAACTAACATATCCCCAAAAATATCTGATGCGCCTAAATATAGTTTTTTTGATTTCCGCCCCTTACATTTTTGAAAACCTGTAGAAGCTTTTCCCACCGCTGAAAGAAGAAACATTATATTACTTTTATTCCTCATGACTTTCGAGTAAATCCCCATTTAGCATCATGGGCTACCCTACTCTAATTGGGCATCGAACTCGTCACCACTTCATCACAAGCCGTTACGGTACTGCCTCTTAAATACTAACAATAGCCTCGGCACTTGTATCAGCCACTTGACTTGGTGTGAGTAGACATTGTGTTTGAGTGCCCAGGAGGCCAGCTTGTCCCACTCGTCCGGGTTCTTGCAGTAGATGGAGATGCGAGGTTCTGCGTAAGTGTACTTGTTTTCTTCTAGATCTACCATCACCTCCTGATGAGGAACGATTAAACTTACATAATAAACTCACACATCTCACACAAGGCCAGTCTGATCTCAAACTATTCAGAGCCGGTACGACAATAACCGGACTGCTGATAAACATACTAATATATTTCTAAATACACTCACATCAACAGCCTATACTAGTCCACTGCTGGACATAGGCCTCTCCTTAGAAAGGAGGTTTTGGCCTACTATACCACGCTGGCCAGACGGGTTGGTATAGGGTTTGTTTCAAGTTTTCCTTCTCTTTCTAAATACACTAATTTAAATAAATATTAATAGATTATGACTTAAATATGAATACTGTTTTAGTTTTAATATTAACTAATATGAAATTAGGTAGTATGAAGAATTTAAATAGTTTTAGTAACATATTTTTTTAATTCCTACTTGCTAGTGCTTGTTACTTTCGTGTAAAAAGGTATTTCACAACTGTAATAACTGAATAGGTTAGTCAATGTTAAACTTAAATTGTATAGTCTAAAAACTGTTGGTGTGTGTAAAATATAATTAAATTGTACCTATTATGGATAAAATTGCACCCAACGCAGACTTCAGATCAATAGTAAATAGTAATTAAATTATTTTAGTGCACGTTCACCTTTGCTCTACGGTAATAAGTGAAACGGTAGGTGACTGTTTACTCAAATTGTGTCTTCTTTATTAACCTCAAATGGTGCGTTTTACTGAGGATGTTACAGGAAGGTATGGGGAAGTTTTATGAGCGGTATATGTAATGTGGTTATGTACCCTAAGTGAAATACGTATGTATCATTATATAGTCATATTGTTAAAGTGACAACGTATGTGGTACGTGGGAGAGCCATGCTTTGATGTGTCGGCTATGGGATACGACCTCACAGAAAACTATTTAGTGAGAAGTTATAGTTGGCAAAGTTCGGGCGTTTAATACGACTTAGCCTTCGATTATATAGGCTTGAATGTATGTATGTATGATTATATAGGCTTGAATGAATGTATGTATGTAATGTATGTATGTAATGTATGTATGTAATTAATAAATCTTATTAATTACATGACTACATACATACGTATCCATGTAATTAATAAGATTTATTAATTACATGAAAGGAATTAATAAATCTTTAACCCAGGAAAGAATAGTCGTGTAAGCAAGAAATACCTTGTGTCTTTCTTGCGTACACGACTATTCGACTATATACAGCAAGAAAGACACAAGGGCTAAGTGTTACCTTGATTATTTGGGCGAAGTACCTTCCATTCATGTAGTTATCAGTTTTGAGGAACACCTCCCTCAATCTGCTTTCTCCCACAGGATTATATTTTGAATTAAACTTGTCAAATCGGTGGAAAGTGTTACGGTCCTTTTAAAAAATTAAACTACGGGTTAAATTCTATATAATAGAGACACAATCAATGTACTATAATAAGACAACATTACCGCATGCACATCCAGGATATCCACGTTCAAATCATACGCATCAAGATTCATCTCTTCAAAGACAGATTTAAGTGTGGTGGGCACTCCATCTGTTAGTGTTACCACTTCATTGGCATTCGTACGCAGCATTCGTTTGATGAAGCGGAGTAAATGCTTCTGGTTCATACATGAAGCTGCGTGGATGTGAGTGTCCACTTTCCTGAAGCAAAAATCAAACAAAGAAATATTCGCCAGTGGGTTTATATGACAAATTTATGAATAAAATAAGAAGTGACGTGACGATTTTGGATGCAAATTAATTAAAAAAAGGGAAAAAATGGCTAAAATGCTCCATTAAAAGTATTTAGCGTCTTCTGGGGTAATCCAGTCAAAAATTACCTGACATTATAGAAGTCCCTATGCGGCACTGCCTTTTGTAATGCCAGTTCATGTAGTTCATTGAGTAACACATGCATCTGGAATTTTGATGTTAAATAACTCAAGCGGCGAAAGCAATATGACTTACTGGAAATAGAAAGAAACATAGAAATGCGTAAATATGATGACAAGCAGAAACTTTTACTTATTCTATGATGCTGTTCTAAAATATGATCAGCTCAGAAAACTTACCAAAGAAGTAAGCAAAAAACGGTTCAGGCAGTTCTTAGATTATAAAACTTCATGAAGATATGAGAAGATATTGATTAAATTACAAGCATTGATTAAATTACAATGATTAAACTGTTCCAGAAAAACGTTCAGACCGAGATCACCGTGGAAGAGCCATAATTTGGTATCAATGGGTCGGCTAGTCGCAATCGTGACCTCACAGAAAACTGGTAATCAAATTTTACGCTGCATTTCACCAAGTGATCAAGGCGATCCCCTACACCTAATACAGAGGCAACGCACTTGACACTCTTTTGTTGCGAGTGTCCTTGGGCGGTGATACACTCTTCATCAGGTGACCCATCTGTTCATTTACCGCTACATCATAAATAACAAATCCGGACAAGTGCGAGTTCCATTCAGATTTCTAGGTACCTACATATTATAAATAGTTCAGGAATCTAGCAGTTTTTTTTCGAGCTGTTCCCGAAATCCAGCTTGCAAAACCTATAATCTATACTAATATTATAAAGCTGAAGAGTTTGTTTGTTTGTTTGAACGCGCTAATCTCAGGAACTACTGGTCCGATTTAAAAAAATCTCAGTGTTAGATAGCCCATTTATCGAGGAAGGCTATATATCATCACGCTAAGACCAATAGGAGCGGAGCACCAATGAAGTATGTTTCAAAAACGGAGAAAATTTATTACTATTGAGAGACGCAGACGAAGTTGCGCGGGTCAGCTAGTTACTCATATTATTGTGCTTTTTAAGTGAATCTGATTGATGAATCTCTCGATGATTAATTACTCACGTATAAGACGATATCGCTTGCCAAATTTCATACTTCTAGGTCAACGGGAAATAACTTATGAATATCGAAACCCTTGAGAATGTCGAAATATGTGTTTCTTGTTTCATAAACGGCCGTATCTTTTTTTTACGTAAATTTAGAAGATTTTCCCACAGTTTTAAGTGACTGTATAGTTGTATATATGATTTAAATTTCAACTCGTGTGACGGTTACCATATTTAGTAATTTTAATCCGGTTTGGGACGTTGGACAATCAACCCTTATCATTGCATGAATTATTTATATCAGGTTAGCGCGCTATAAAACTTTTGTATTTACCACAGTTACATTACTCGTACATACGTTATATCTGCATTATCACATATATCTCCATATTTTGCCACCTATAATCTTGGTCCCACTCACGAAATAGGGGGTAAACCATTAAATGACTGGTTTTATCTTCAATATTCTTTTGACTCAAAGAGAAATTGTAAGATTTAAAATACTTACAGAGGCCCGTTATCATTGAGGGAGTCAATTTGCTCCAAATCCTGCACGTACTTCTTGAAAGGTATGTAAGTGTAGTTTATGGGCTTATCGGCTTCAAGGTCTGCCTGATTCCTGTATATATGCACCACACCCTGATTATAATTATAAACGTACTTGCGGTCCGGTGGAATTGGGGCCATCCATGGGTCCATAATTTCTGATGGTCAAAAAAGAAAAGCGATGTATGTCTCACACTTTGTTTTATTTCATCAATTTTAATAATTATTTCTGTACACACGAATACTTTATCTCGTTGATAGAAAAATAATTACTAACCTTCCATAGTTGGAAAATCTTCGAAGCTATCTAACGACACGTTGGTTTCTGACGGCCGTAGCATTCCAATCGAGCTCGCCATCACTTTAATTAAAAAAAACATATCAATATTACTGAGTATTCATCTTTATTACTGTCCAAAACACTACATTATTAATCATTTATTCATTATCTTTTTTTTTTGTTCTTTTAAAAAACAACTCCCGCATTAGGAATATATCCTGTGTCGCGGGGGACTTTACAAACATACATGAAACGGACACAAAGAACACCCAGACTCAGAACAACAATTTGTGGATCACACAAAGTGTCGTCCCATGTGGGGTTTGAACCCACAACACTCGGCGCAGTAGGAAGCGGCGTGGCGACCGCTTAAACCACTACGCCATCCGTGCAGTCAAAATCTTACATCGAATTACGTTATATCTTACTACCATTGTTAAACAGTAAAAGAAAAAAGTTAATATTACCAATGAAAGTAGAACAGAATAATAATGTTTGATCTCAAATTAAGCAGAGCCTGTACTTTGGCAACCAGCTTGCTGACAAACACGCTTATATTTTTACAAATACATACAAATTAGAGATAAATTATACCCAGACATAAATAAATTATCGTACTCATCACACAATTATTTGTCCTATGTGGGAATCAAACCCACGATCTCTGGCTCTGCATTCAGGACCAATGGTTTGTGGTTACTAGAGCAATAGGCCATACAGTCAATGAAAATACACGCTTACTTCGAGAATGTTCCGGACTGACATGCCTTTTGTTGCACAGGAGTTCTACTTCAGAGGGAGGGTCTGAGGTAAGGAAGTAATCGTCCATTTCGTCTGCTGTTTAGGGTTGAATAAAATAATGATTTATTGTACAGTAACATGTCCCACTTGTAGATTGAAGTGATGTGAATGAATGAATCTTCAAAATACCTGGAATGTCTCAAATTAACTTTAAAAAGTTTACTCTGAAACCCTGCTGGAAGAAGAGTCCAAACTATGAATAGGAAAGAAACATATACAGACCTATAGATAAATACTCTATTTGGTCACGTTTTTCGTCCATTTTACATATATTTTTAGTTAGGTCACTTTAAATTCCGCCGAGATACCAGGGATTTCCTTTCTAGGTTCCACCTGGTTCCCCAGCTACTGGTACCCGAGACGAGCTTTAGTTAGTTCGAATCTTCGACATAACCACCTCACCGGTAGTTCAATGACGGGTTTTCGACACGTAACAAAAATAAATGTCACTTTAAATTCTATTTAGAGTTGTTAAAAATGAGATAAGGTTTACTTGAATCGTGTGAATTTTTTATACCAATCTAATTAGATTATACAAATTATTGTGATCTTTTATACTAAACTAGCTGACCCGCGCAACTTCGTCTGCGTCTCTCAATAGTAATAAATTTTCTCCGTTTTTTAAACATTCTTCATTGGTGCTCCGCTCCTATTGATCTTAGCGTGATGCCTATAGCCTATAGCCTTCTTCGATAAATGGGCTATCTAACACTGAAAGAATTTTTCAAATCGGACCAGTAGTTCCTGAGATTAGCGCGTTCAAACAAACAAACAAACAAACAAACTCTTCAGCTTTATAATATTAGTATAGATAAACTGTATAGATAACTAAGTGAGTTAACTCGCTGCCTGTAACTAACACAACCACGTTCAATTAGAAAAGCCAGGCGTTATAAATAGGAAACTTAAAGCAAATTTAAAACATCAATTCTTTACCTTCAAGGCGTCGGTCGAACACTATATTTGACGCTACGTTACGCTCCAAGTTATAAGGTCTTTCGCAGCCGTGGGCTTGGAGAAAGCTGTCCAAAGTTGCGCAGAACGTTTGGTTGGATATGGCCATGTAATGTTGCCGTAAGTGCAAAGTTTCTACCAGCAATGCTGCCGAGCGGACTAAATCTTCCATCGGTACCTGAGTATTGACAAGCATATTGTTAAAAATAGAGGTCATTTATGAAAACCAGTAGGTATATATAGTTTTTTATGGAATAGGGGATGAATGGAAAGCGACCACCGCAGCCCATGAACGCCCGCAGCTCAGGAGTCACAAGCGCGTTGCCGCCCTTTCATCTAAAGACAATACAGTTTAGTCGCTTCTTTTAAGTAGCTGAATCTTAAACGTTGAATTCTTTCAATTATTATCGTGGGAGAGTCATGCACATATATGCCAGCTTTAGCCTTACCGGAGTTAAAGGTAGTAGGGCCTCACAGAAAAGAGAGTTTGGCTGGCTGTAGTTGGCTATGTAAGGTCCTAGTGCAAGTTTATTTCACATCAAATTGCTCGCCACAGCGAGCGGGTTTTACTGAGTGTTGAGCACAGCGATTGGTGAAGATTTCAGCACGGACCAATCGCAACGCCGGACACGCTCACCGTGACGATCGGATAAATCTGAAATAAACTTGCACTTGGGCCGAATCAATTTGTTACTTTACTCTCCTATACCATAAAATAAATCAATGAAAAGAATTTAATGTTTTTCAACTTTCAATTTGGTTTAAATTTGCATTTCTAAAGGAGCATGCAAATCCAGGTCTTACGAACCAATAAAGCAGCTACGTGTGATACATCGTTTAATTGGTATGTTTGAGCTGAATAAAAGTTACTATGGCGCCAAGTTCAAAATCTTAGTCAGAGTTAGGTATTCTTCTTTAACGCGGCAGTTTGGGCAACAGCCAAAAACAATATTTTCCCCTAAACAGTCTACTTTCGGACCTAAAAAGACTAAGATTTGGATCTTAACACCATAGTAACTTTTAATCAGCCTAAAATATCTATCAAACTATGCATCAGACGTAGCTATTAAAGGGTGGGACCAAATTTCATAGAAACCCATCATCCTTGATCTGCTAATATCCTTTAAAGCTTAACTTTAAGCGATTGATAAGCACGAACCCCTGTGACGTGTATTCCTGAGACAGAGACCCTTTGGAAGGGCACGGTGTTGTCTGGTGATTTCTGGTCACCTGGTCTACCGCGTGATCGCAAGCAGCTCTTGATGGCGCGGTTGGCTACCTCTCGCAAGTTGATGGATTCACTGGATAAACATGACAACGATCAATATCCGGAATGGAAGGATACGGAATGTCAATACCCCAATTCATCCCGTGGGTGTCGTAAGAGGCGACCAAGGGCGCAAAACAACGCAGGACACAAGCACTGCAAAAAGAAGGAAAACTTGATACAATCCCTATACCAACCCGTCTGGCCAGCGTGGTATAGTAGGCCAAAACCTCCTTTCTAAGGAGAGGCCTATGTCCAGCAGTGGACTATTAAAGGCTGTTGATGTTGATGTGATCAATATCCAAAATTCACATTAGGATATAACTTCTGGATACCTCATTCACAGTCAGGCAGTAGCAGCTGGCAGCAACCTTTAGTTCGATCATGTAGACAAAAAGATCTTTATAAGATCATAAAAGGGAATTATAATTAGATTGGAAATCAATCATGATAATTGTGGTACGGTTTTCATTGTTTTTAATTACCGTTGGCTTAAGAGTTAGCTTGACGGCTTTGTGTATTTATATCGTACGTAACGTGCCGCTGTATTTATAACGTACTAGCTGAGACCCGCGGTGTTACCCGTTTGTTGTTATAACAGCGGGCAACGCCGCGGGGCGAAGCTAGTCTAAAAAAAGTAGCCTAAGTTACTCCTTATCTCATCAGCTATCTTGCCAGTGAAAGTCCCGTCGAAATCGGTCCAGCCGTTCCAGAGATTACCCGAACAAACAGACAGACAGACAAAAATGGTAAAAATGTTATTTTGGCATATGTACCGTGTAAACATACATATGATTTAGTAAAAAGCGGTTATTTTTATTAATTAAAAAGAGACACTCCAATTTTATTTATTTGTATAGATAAGTATTTTTGAGAGCTGGGACAGTCGTTTTTGAATTTTGTGAAGAACCAGTTTCAAGTTGGGGCTTCAATCTTATTTATTACATAGGTCTTCAACAAGTCTTTCTTCTTCTCTTAATGAGTAAATTAATATAATCCAAACCTTTTAATATATGACCCCAAGGGCCTGACGGCTAAAACACGACATACATACTTTTGCAGTGCAGACAATTTGTTCGCCCATTTCTTGTTGTATTCCTTTTGAGCACTATAAAGTGATTTATTTTTTAAGTCTTGGACGGACTGCTTCGAATGCATATTCATATTTTTATTAATTTAATATTTATTTTATAAAATGTTCAATTTAAATTTATCTTTGTTTGAGACCCATGTGTATTCTGTCAATTTGATGATTTGATGACAGATGGTTATGAAAGGTTTGTTACGAAATATTTAACCTCTTTGCGTCATTTTTTATCTATACTTATATGCTATGACTTTTGTCACCGTGACTGTTTTGTCACTAGTCCGGACTGTAGAGTTTATAAATATGAACGTAGCGACGTGACAACTGATGACAATTTTCACAAGTCCATGACAAAACTGTCACCGCGCTAGTAGGTATTTTATAGCAGTTTTTATAGCCAAATGACGCTTTGGGCATGTCCGCACAGCGATATTTCATCGTGAGGTTTTATCCTCGCGTATCATTATTCGCGATCGGAAATTCACTCCGACGGCGTAACAGACGTATCAAAAGATGTCACTAACATTGAATTCACCCATTTAGAGTATAAGTTGAGACCCATGAAAGGTTTTTCTACATAAAAAGCGCCAACAGAGTTAAACGCGCTAATCGTGTCGCGTTTTGCATTAAATCATGGTTTTTTTCCGCCAGTGCGGATAGTACTATTTAGATCTCGTGTCACAGAATTTTGCAAAAAAAAAACGTATGACAAAATGTCGCTGTGCGCACAGCCCCTTAAATTACAAAAAAGTTTTGTCACTGTCACTCTTCGTGCGCGCACTCAACTTTAAACACGTGACGTGACAGTGAGGACAAAACTTTTTTATCACCGTTACAAAAGTCATCAGTGCGAGCATGCTCTTGCTATTGATAGTCAGATTTGTATATACATATTTTATACATACCAGCTGTTGCCCGCGGCTCCGCCCGCGTTTATGCGCGGTAAAAGGTGGTAAAAGGCGGCCTATGTTACTCGCTGATAATGAAGCTTTCAATTTGTGAAAGAATTTTTAAAATCGGTTAAGTCGTTTATACGTTAAAGCTTAACAAATAAACTCACTATCACATTTAAAATAATAATAATCTTAGTTTAGCACAAATATGAATACAGGTTTTACAAGTGTAGTGTAGTTTTACATACTAACTGCAATAGACGGCCTGAACGAATTCGAACTCATTTAGGCAACGCTTTTTTAAACTCTACTACTCTACTCTATTAAAATAACAAATTGGGAATTACACACAGATATTTGGATGAACTCGTAAACTATGCCTACGTATCTGGTATTATTTAAGATTAACAATATAATTGATAAGAATACGTAAAAATTGAGAATGCACGTCCTCACCTTGTACATAATTATTTACACACAACATGTGTGTAGTAAGGTATGACGTCACAAGCTTTAAGTACAACAGCATCGCAAAGAGAAGGAAAACTGTACAGGAATCGTATGGTAATCCATATGGCCAGCGTGGTATAGTAGGCCGTGGTATAGTAGGCAAAAATCTCCTTTCTGAGGACAGTCCAGCAGTTGACTGTTATAGGCTGTTGATGATGATGTTTATTGTTGTTGTTGTTGTTGTTATGTTTACTCTAACGAACGTGGTAAATATCCCGTTTTTAATAACATATAGACAATTTTATACAAAGGACACAAAAATACTTGAACCCAACAAATGCTTAATTTTATTAGAATAACATATAATTAACGAGATTTATTCTATTGTACATTTTATTGGTATTTATTTATAAAAGTACTGTATAAAATGTGATGTAAACAATAAAATTAATTACTTCTTCATTATAAAGTACTCATTTCAAACTCAATTCAAATTATTAAATTCATTTCGAATTTCGCAAATCATACATATTTGAAGTCCAATCATGACCAAAATCGGTGCAATTATGTCAAAGCATAACCAAAATAATGTTTTCTGTATTACAGTTTGACGGATATCTGACCGACAACTCTAGCATCACACGCGGTGTTACACAGTTCCGTCCCTTTTCACGAAGACACTTTCGTAAATTAAAGCGAGAGGAATGATGTTACACAACAAAAAAGCAAAGAATCTGAACCTTTTAAGGGCACAATAGGATCAAATATTCAGAACGCGACTTGCAGGGCACGTACTGTGAGTTTATCTCACATCAACTCGATCGTCACCGTGACCGCGTTTGGCGTTGCTATTGGCCGGAACTGAACTATTCACCAATCGCAATTCCGAACGCGACGTCCTCTAGGGCGAGTTGATGTGACATAAACTCGCACTAGGACCTACTTTGTACTCTGATCACTTCTAATGCAAATAAATAATTTGAATTTGAATAATTTGAATTTGAATAATTTGAATTTGAATAATTTGAATTTGAATAATTTGAATTTGAATAATTTAAATTTGAATAATTTGAATTTGAATAATTTGAATACTATGGAGGTGTATGATATATTTTGTCAGCTGGTTATACAAGAGATGGTCGCTTCAGGCTGACGATGGGCGCTTTGAAGTTGGGTATACCCGGGGACACGGCGCCGCTGACTGGCAGGGGTGAGGCGGGCGGCGCTGACCGGGACTGTGGAACACAAAACACGAAAAAACAAGTTTTATGTGAGTCAATTTTCAATGGACAGGCATGCAATGGGTGTATCATACGACAAATACTTCATAGTCATAACACCTAGCGCCATCTTAACAAATCAATCTGAATAAATAAGTACTGATCGTACATCGCGCCATCAAGATTCCCGCGTAATTTGATTGAAATTTTAACTTTGTCCAGAAAATACTATTTCTAAATTTAAAATTAGATATGCAATTCAAAACACGGCGTGAGGGGTCTATGGACCCCAGTTCGGACGAAGTTTCTTTCGCTTTCAAAAAGCGAAAGAAACTGTGTCGGAAAACAGTCTTGTTACACATTTTTCGGTCTCGATAAAGAACTTCGTTCCAATAATATGAGACTCTCTGTAAGATTCTTTTTATGGTAAAAGATGAAAAGAAGTCGCCCATGGACATCTACAACTCAAGACGTATGTAAAGTAATGCAAACGTCCATAGCGTCCGTGAGTTACGCTAATAAACAGGTTCAAGTAGAAAACCAAACGCCGGGCCTTCGCTTGGTAAATGCTGAACTGGACGCCCATTTGATACAGAATAAACTATCTAGGAATTGTTGGCACCCTAAATAGATACCTATCCTGTTTCACTTATAAATAGGGTGCATGATTTTAGTTTTGAGAGCCCTACTATGGGTGGATATTACCTTATATTGGTGTCTGTACCAAATATAATTTTCTTTCTTTCTTTTTGAGAGTGATAAGTGCGTTGCCGTCTTGTTAGTTACTCCTTCCCCCTCTCCCTCCTTTTTTTTTTCTACCCACCAGTGGGTGATTATGTCGGACTCGAACCGACCTTTGGAGGGGGAGTTTGAAGCCCCTTTGACCTCAGTGATTCTACGGCCCATGTGCCCATATATGCCGTAACATAGTTAAGATGGCACTCGGTATGTATATTTAAATGTTATAACATCGTTACTTACGTGTTCTTGTTTACCGCAAACGTGTTTCAATATTATCTCCCCATACCTTAATACTCAAAGTAATAAGTGTTTATTATTATAAGCTCGGAGGAAGAAAATATGAGAAACACAACTAGTTCCTTCCGGGAATCGATCGTAAGTAGTGTTAAAGAATTAAGCACGTATATTAAAAGTTTTACTTCCTTGAATTTAGAGGGGAGATTATCTGATATAGTGTGTCTGTTAATACATCAAGTTTTTATTAAAACTATTATCCAATTATTTCTCCCATTAATCAAGAATTACTGTACAAAAATGGATTATGTATTAGATTAATTCGGGATATACGGCAAACATTTTTTTTTATTAATTATGTGTTATGAAAGAATAATAAAAACTTGAAATTTATATCATGCAATATTTATATGCATGAGGATAATTTAAAGTACTTACCTGTTATACTATGATGATTGGCTGAATTAAAGAATATAACCTAATATTTTTATCTTATACGGAATGTCAGCACCCCTATTCATCCCATGGGTGTCGTACGCAGGAGAACAGCACTACAAAGAGAAGGAAAACTTGAAACAAGTCCTATACCAACCCGTTTGAATAGCGTGGTATGGTAGTCCAAAACCTCCTTTTTAAGGAGAGGCTTATATCCAGCAGTGGACTGTTATAGGTTGAGTCGAGTCGTCGTCGAGATATTTTTCTCTTATAGAGAATATCAATTTTGTTTAATGATTATATCGGTTAGTATTCGGCATTATATCTAATGACTATTATATAATAATATAATTTTAAATCTATAATTTAATTTTCTTTATTTACTTACCTGCAGCTCTGTGGTGAATTTAGAAAATGAATTTAATCTAATATCTTTATATTTAAGATTTCATTATTTGAGAATTTGAATTTTAAAATATTTCTTTAAAGAATATTAATTCAGAAATCTAAAGATTGTGTTAATAAATATACACAAATTATACATTTCGGCTCGTGGAAATATTGATTATTATACATTGTTATACAGACATAAAGCAAGCACACACTGTGTACCTTAAAAGAAGAGAGGTGTGGAAAACCGCTGTAGCTACAGAAAAAACATTCAAACATATTAGAATGTAAACACGAAAAGTCTTAGTAACTGAAGAAACTTATCCACGATTAAATTGAAAAGCTACATTTAAACTACGATAGTTCGAAGTAGATTTTATGATATCTTGACTCTTCATATGAGATTTAATGAATCCTAAATGTATGTTTGTTTAAGAGATTCTTATGGAAGGCATCTGAAGGTGCAAGTGTCGTCTCTGAACCATACTTAGAGATAACACTTGCATTATGAAAATAACATTACTTTGGTTCAGTGTTAGGTATTACTGTGATATTATCTATTAAGCGCTACCATTATGTAGTAGCTATGAATCCATAAAGATAATATAATATAGGAAGCGAACTTTACATTCCTCTGTAAGTGGTAGCGTACGGCTGTTAACAGAGAAATAATATTGTTTTGGTCTTGCATCTCTCTCTCTCCTCTCTGCATTGATTGGCTGGTACTGAAGAGGGCATTTAAAATACCCAAATAGTGACAAGAGCAGAGAGAGAGAAAAAAGACCAAAACAACTTCTGTCTCTCTCTAGCCACCGTATGCGATGGCGTCTTGTTAGCTTCCTTCTTTATTTATAAGGTAAGCTTTATAAGATAAGGTATTTAGCACGCCACTCGACGCTAAACGCAAATCTAAATATAAAAGGTACGAACCCCACCAAGTAGAATATTACCAAAGACGCGCTTCTAAATCAAATTAATGGTCAACGCGTCTGGCCAGCGTGATATAGTAGGCCAAAACCTCCTTTCTAAGGAGAGGCCTATGTCCAGCAGTGGACTAAAGGCTGATGATGTTTGATGAATAGTACTGTATACTTGAAAAAGGTTGACGTAAAAAACAAAATGGCGTGTATATGATCATTTTTATTTCCAACAAAGATAACGTGTACATAATGGTTTATAAATATTTGTAAAAACATACTTATTCACAAGATCGAAACAGGTTAAGTACAATAAATTAGTTGGGGGTGTTCTGCGCAAATGGTGGCGTGATCTCTTACTAAACAAGTTCTGAAAATTTATTTTGATTTTATAGTCTAACCCTTAGATACAAGCGAGTTCTAGGTTTAGTGATATGGTACAAAAACTAGCTACCAAATACCGCATTGGAAAAAATAGTTCTGCTGTAGTAAGACTATTAAATTAAACCATTAAAAACAGTACAAAAGTATAAAATATTTTGTCATTTGGAGAGAGATTCGTCGATTAAGTTATTCTTTCGAGAAACATGTTTCTACATTTATGCCGCCGGGATTGTTTTATGACTCGGTTGGCACGGTGTTAAGCTAGTTAGCTAGCTTTCGTTGAATTGTATAGAGTGAGTTAAGTTCTCTGAGGACTAATTCTGCAGAGAGGGCAATCTAAGGCCAACAACACATTTTAGACTTTTGAGTTGTCCTTTAGGTGACGATAGTCACTTACCATCAGGTGACTCATTTGATAATTTGGCCCCTTATACTATATAATGGACACGGTACACCCAAACCCATCAGATGAACCTTAATATCTATGTAAGAATTGAAGCGACATATTTCGTGGCAATATTCTAAAAGAGTAATGACACACGCAAGCAAACAGTTAACTTAAAATGTACGTGTAACAACAAATAAATGACCACAGATCACAAAGGACATTTCTCAAAAGACACAATCCCAAAACCATTTGCACAGATACACAAAATGCACTTTATCACTGAAAATATATTCAAACCCTTGAAAAATCGTTATATTAACATATTCCATGATTATTGTATTTATTATATAATAATAATAAAAGGATTCGATTAACGTTTCAGTTTTAAAAGTGTTAGTTTCTGAACGCGTTGTCAAAATAAAAAAAAAAAAACGCGAGGGGAAATCGGCATTCACATAAGTTTGCGTTAGTATTTCGCTCTTTTGAGTCTTCCTCCTTTTTAACGGGTAATAAAATAACATTTGTATTGTTAATAGTGATTTCATTTAAGTTGTTAAAGAATTGATTTGTAAAAAATACAATAAAAAAACACAAATTAACATTGTAATTGCACGTTTAAACTTCATTGTAATAATAAGATAAAAAACAAATTTCATAACAACATAAAGGCTTTGCGTTCAGAAACTAACTAATAATAACTACGACACTAAATATACACTTTATCACATAAACATAAAACAATGCAACGACAACAAGCCGTTAGACCCCACCAGTAAAGCTCTCCGGCGACAGCTCACAAACAAACACATTAAAAAAGTAATCTGACATTGTTTATGGTATCTATCAAATATTTTTACCGCTTAAAAATTTATGAGTTTTTTTATTTTATTACAAGTCTTGATAAAAAAAATTATGTTTGAGGGGGCAGACAAGCAGACGGATCAAATGATGGAAAGTGACCATCGCCGCCCATGAACGTCTGCAACTCAGGAGTCACAAACGCGTTGCCGGCCTTTTAAGAAGGAGTACGCTCTTTTCTTAAAGGTTTGTAGGTCGTAAATTTGTTTTTAGGATTATGAAACAAGCATAATCAAATTGATTTGTTTCAATTACACCAATTGTTTGTATTTCTTTTATTGTCTTAGGTCGATCATAAATAAATCAATAATATATTGTCGTTGTCAAATTTGTCCTTTTATTATTGTACAAAAAGAGACGTCATCAAAATGCATTTAATTTGTATGTGAGCTGTTGCGTACAGATATTATAAAAACTATCCAGATCGAATAAGCATTACTATTCTAATAAACTAAGTTAAGACAATATGTTAGCGAACGGTCAATAGGAGTACTGTTAATGTTTCTTTAAATAATTAACTTTAATAAAAGGTATCACCGACTTCAAGGTGGATTTTTTTCTTCAAACTTTAATGGAAAACGGGAAGTATATAATTTCAAATACAAAAGAATTTTCAAGGTCTCAAACGTCATTTTACGAGTTGCAGGTCTGAAATAACAGTGGGCAGTACGTAGAACCCATAAGTATAGTTCGTGGGGCAAAGCGGTCTTGGGGCAAAGAGACGCAGAGGTAGCGAGAAACGCTAAGAAACATTTAGAAATAAAATATCAATGTATTTAAGACTTGTAAAACTCATTTTATGTGACGGTTTATCTATCGTAGTTAAAATAGGGTCCCTTCCTTTTTGGTTTTAGTGCTATTCGAATAGAGATGGGACAAAAGGATATCGATATGACATGTATATATATAAGAGTGCCTCGAATAGCGAAATTATTACAATTGTTGTTTTTATTGTTATTAGAATGATTGTGTTAGAGATGTTTTTTCTCCAAACAGAACCGTTCACCAACTCTATAGTTCCTACAATATTTATTTATGTAAATCCAAGAGCAGCAAAACATCGTTTTAACAATGAAATGGCACTTTCAATCTTATATTTTCGCTTATTTATCACAAGAGGTAATCTATAGGTATCTATACTTAGAATTATATATTTTTTCTTGTTTTTTTTTGGGTATTTTTTATAAAACAATTATTGATTATACAGTCTAGTACGTAGATGTTAGTAAAAATTAGTAAATTTTAATTATTTAAAGTAGTCTGTCAGCATCCATTGTCTTGTTGTGGATGTTTATACTCGGGCAGACATGCCGTCCTGAAATGGTTTATTATATAAATCATTAGTATCAATATTGATTTAGGGGTGTTTTACCATATTTTATTTGGAGGGTTAAGTCTCACAATAGATTGCAGAAAATCATATAAATTATTGATTTTTGACACCTTTGGGACTTCACATATTAGAGATATAAATTGGGACTTCATTACGGTGATATTATTTTATAAAATATTGCGGTACTATGTTTTAATTTCCCAAAGTTTTGTCCAAATTGGATCGATCGTTTCCACTAGTTACGTAAACCAATAATTCAGATTACAGACCCGATTTACAGATCTAATACAAACACAGAAATATAACGTTATCACAGACAAGCTAGGTACGTTGAAATTTGCAAAAACACAACAATAAACGTAATATATAAACGTATTGTGGAATGTTTTGTGAACAGACGAATGAATATTGCGAAACAGACCCACACATTGTATTAACCTAATGTATGATTTCTATTGATAATACTTTTTGTCTATATTAAGAAACATATTAAAAACTAAGAGCTGAAAATGATGGTGAAATTGAATAGTTAGTCAAATTCTTAATGAAAATTACTAGTTTTTTTTAAAACAAAGCATTTTGCAAAAATTCTGATGGTTGTCTAATATTATTACAAGTCAGATTTTTTTCTATACCCCAAGAATGCAGATAATCAAACTCTATTTAAAATGAATTAATTATTTGAGTAAAAAAACAGCATTGCAAAGAGAAGAAAACCTTAACGCAAACCTTATATCAACCCGTCTGTCCTGCGCTGTAAAGTAGGCCAAAACCTTCTTTCTAAAGAGAGGCCTATGTCCAGCAGTGGACTATTAAAGACTGTTGATGATGATGATGATTTGAATGAATAATTCTATGTTTAATAAGTATAACCACTTTCATCATCAGCCTATCGCAGCCCACTGCTGGACATAGGCCTCTCCCATTGTACGCCACTTAGATCGATTTTTGGCTTCTCGCATCCAGCTCCTGCCAGCCATCTTGCGCAAATCGTCACTCCAGGAGTGATAACCACTTTACGTTTATTAATTCGATCTATTTGACAACCGTAGTTTTGGCTATGGCCTTCGACACTTTTTATATGCAAAGGGATTGATTCCCAACGACTAGAGAAGAGAGTATCATCATAAAACTCTTTTAAAATACTCATAAACTAATGACTATCTTGATCGCAGCATAACAGCTTATATTATCAGAAAGAATATTTTAAAAAAAGTCGCGGTATTCCACAAGGATCAACTTTAGGGCCAGGTTCGGCTTACTTGTAAGGTCATAGAGAAGATAGCAGGATATTGAGATATTATGATTTTACCTTGAATATGTTGGTTAGCTCGTCGAGCAAGGTCTCGTGTCGGAAGGAGATGCGGATGTCGGGTACGTTAGTGCGGGTGATGTCGTTACCGGCCACGCCCTCCTTCATGTAGTTGGGGCCTAGCCAGTACTGCTTCATCTAGTTATAGAAAGTAAACATTCTTGTCAGATGAAAATATATTCTCAACGAGGTAGGTAGAGATCGATTACACCGTCATGTTTGAACAAATGTGCATTGATTCCACTTAATGTGGGGCAAATTCTTCTTTCTTGCAGGTTTCAACACACCATAAGATTTAAACCAAATGAAGAAATAAAAATAAGTAGATCACATGTGTTCTAAGGTCCTTTTAACATCCGTGTGGTGACGGATTAAGAATGCGGAGTGTCACCACCCCCATTCATCCCGTTGGTGTAGTAAGAGCCAACTAAGGGAGCAAACTACGCAGGACAACAGCACTGCAAAGAGAAGAAAAACTTGACACAAACCTTTTGCTAACCAGTCTGACCAGAGTGGTATAGTAGGCCAGAACCTAGTTTCTAAGGAGAGGCCTATGTCCAGCAGTGGACTAGTAAAGGCTGTTGATGTGTTCTAAACGTAAACTGGGTCAATTAGCCTACTCAGTTCCCTTCTTTTGGCATCAGTTAATGTTCTGATAAGTAATAGAGTTTACCTCGTGGGGGAATCCGGACATGAGCACGGAATTCCTGGCAAGTTCGCACATGTCACATGAGCTGAGCTTCCACACCTGCGCTGCTATGCTGTACTCCTCCATCAGCGGCTCCTGGTAATCATGACATCAACCACATTGTAAGAGATTTTAAAATGTAATTATTTGTTTTTTTTATTTTAATATTTTATGCACAAGTATGAGTTGTTCAATGACGGACTTAATACCATGGGGATTTTCTTCCAGTCTACCTTTGGGTGGTGCTGAAATGTGTGACTAGGTGCACTAGACAATGGTATGTTGTAAAAAAAAAAATTGCGAAGTTGGGCTGAAATAACTGCATGGATGGCGTAGTGGTTTAAGCGGTCGCCACGCCGCTTCCTACTGCGCCGAGTGTTGTGGGTTCAAACCTCACATGGGACGACACTGTGTGATCCACAAATTGTTGTTCTGAGTTTGGGTGTTCTTTGTGTCCATTTCATGTATGTTTGTAAAGTCCCCCGCGACACAGGAATGTATTCCTAATGCGGGAGTTCTTTAAAAAAAAACGATATACATAAATACATACGTACCAAATACATACACATACATAAATACTTACCTAGTTACATAAATACATAAACCTACATATTAAAATTAAATAAAACTATAATATTGTAATGAATCTGCTTGGGTGTCCAGAATGCGAGCTGGAACTTTCATCTTAAATGAGAGGCGGCTGGGTGCTAGCCTCATTTCTAGAGGCAGAGCCTTCCAGAACATACGTAATTATAATTTTAATATGAGTACCTACAGTGTAAACAAGTTTAAATGTTTTTTTTTAAATAGATACACAAATTAAGCTGGTAACATTCCACCGTGTTGCTTCAAGGATTACAATTTTGCCATTTGAAACTTGATTGGAGTGTTACCACCCTCTCACAGAAATCTGGCACTTCTTTCGCCCAGCAATTCTGTCTGTTCGTCTGCTTGGCTTCTTAGCCCCCTATAACACAAAACAACATACCTTGGTAAAGTGGAATTGCAGAGGGTCATCAGTACTCAGTGTGATGCACAGTCCTCTGGCCAGGAACTCGGGCAACGGGTTCCGGTGATAGTTGAGGAACAAAGAGTTGTTCGACAGAGGAGACATGGCGATATAGATCTGGGCCAGGTAGTACAGGTATTGGAGAACTGGCACCTGGGGAATATATATTAACAGTTAATGCACTATTTGAATTTCTGTTTTAATTGTTGGTTTAGTTTTTTTTATATGTGACTATTTCAATGAAATAATTTATTGAAATTTTGATGACTAATTGTTATAATTATTGACACAATGTAACAATAATTGTTTGTAATATATAAAGAATAACACAGTTGATTCTATTATTAAAAGACTTATATACAGCCAAGAGACTTCAAGGGGTGAACATTAGCCAGGCTTCAAGCCAATCAAGCATGCTTGGGACGAGTACGCACGATAGTTTAGATGTTTATGTGACCCGAATTCAATGCTCTCGGGTGTACTGTAGTGAGGTGTACCTCACTAACAACGAGCAAACCTAAAGTATATATCTATAACCCGGCAATCTCGTGCGCGACCGTTCCGCGGGGTGACAGACAGTGGAGGGGGCGAGGTAGCGCGTCATTCTAGCACACGGCTACAACGAAGAGAAGCGTTTCCCTTCCCCGCTACACCACCCGCTACCCGCTAACATCTTGAGTACCTCGTCCCCGCCACCGTCTGTCACCCCGCAGGACGGTCGCGCACGACGTTGATGAACTATAGTATTTAATCAGGAATATAGAAATGAATACACGTAGGAAGAATTTTATTGGTAAAATCTAAATATACATATGAAATTACTTGCCGTGCCTAAACCGTTGCGTTAATAAATCAGCCAGTCAGTCAAACTCGATAAGAAAGGATTTCACCCCTAAGGGGATAAAATGAGTGAAAGCTGGGGGCAATAGCTAGTCAATAATGAAATCACAGACCTTCCTAAGTAAGAGACCGTGGGAGATGTTCTCGGCGAGCAGGAACCCGCAGACTAAGTGCTGCACTGCACCAGCTTCGCCGCAGTGGGGACGGAGCACGAAGGTGTTCATTCCTTGCTCCCTGAGGAGACAAACAAATGATTAGTTTCTTTTTAGAGTTGTGTCTTGTGAGTGACCCACACACTCACACTAATCACACACTAATAATTTTTTTTTACCTTATTTCTTCAACATACAGCTTAAAATTGTTTACACATTATTCGAGAATATGGTGTATTGTTTACATGGTTGCGAGATACTCACTTCCTGAAGTGGTTGAGCACGGTCATGTTGGCGTACATGTAGTACAGGTAATACGCGTACGGAGGATTCTCCTCATCGTCCCATTCTTCTGGACTCTTCACATCAGGGTCCAGCATAGGGTTCTCAGGCTTGGACTCGTCGTCCACGCTGTCGAAGCCCACCACGTGCTATAACACATAGGATATTATTATACGCATAATGTGAATATCAATTAATATATATCTATAGTTCATTCGCGTTAAGAAAATAATGACTGCTTTCGTACGAAACGATAATATCTTGGAACCCGATTGGTCAGGAGGCGTGGCTTGATCGATGCGTCACTATTTTCTTAACGCGAATCGATTATGGGTTATAACTTTTGACTTTTTTATTATTTTTGTTTATTTAAGTTTGTGGGGCTCACACCACATATATACATGCATACATACATACATACATTCACACTTATTACTTATACCCATAATATTTATATTTAATATATTAAGCATACACAGACGTACTAACACGCGTGCAATAGGCGGGGCTTACGCCTCCTACCACAACGGCGACGCGCGGGCGCACCGGCCCTTGTATCCCGCGGCAGTCAGCTTATCGCTCCCGCTATGCTACCCTGTGTCGCTCGCTATCTTGACGCTCTGTGGCATCTACCGCGCACTGTATTAATTTTTATATTTTTTTCTTATACTTTGTTTCCGAGCTTTGAACTGTTTATAGTGTTTCTTCCATCTTCTTATTATATTGCTTGACTTTAACCTTCTGTTCTTTGTGCTTGTTTTACTTAACTGTGTGATTCGTGAAATAAAAACATTTGTGACCTGTACTGGACCTTTTCTTGGACTTGTGGTATGTGAACATTTTTACTTTTACCTAACACACTACAACTGGTGACCCCGGTTAGGAACACTAAAATGAGTGATAGCAGTGATTCCCTAACTACCGCCGAAACTGTGGATGAGAACGTTACAGTGCGAGTGCCGAGAAAAACGCGTGCACGACACCTCATCAGACCAACGCAAAGTCACCCTTAAGGTGGCAAAATTTTCGGTTGAAGACCCGGAACTTTGGTTTGCGCTTTTAGAAAGTCAATTCAATAGCCTTGATATTACCGAGGACCGTGTAAAATTCAGCTGCGTGACTACCAGGCTCGATATACAGCATGCGAAGACTGTAAAGGATATCATATTGAACCCGCCGGCTAAAAACCGATATGATAGGATTAAGACAGAGCTTCTCCGTCGTCTGTCGGCTTCACAGGAGATGAAGGTGAAGCAGTTGCTTACACAGGAGAAACTGGGCGATCGTAAGCCATCTCAATTCCTACGACACCTTCAGGATTTAGCAGGAGCGTCCGCTGCTGAGGACATCGTAAGGCAGATCTGGAGCAGTCAGCTACCCATCGGAGTTCAGACTGTACTAGCCTCTCAGCCCTCGCACTCCTTGGAACAGCTAGCTGACCTGGCAGACCGCATTCAGGAGTTAACTTCGTCACCTGAGGTGGCCTCGACATCTACGGCGGTCCCGACAAGTAGCAACTCATCAGGCGAGATTGCCGAACTCCGGAAAATGGTGGAACATCTGGCAGTGAAAATTGATGAGCAGTCACGCCGATTTAACCGATCCGACCGATCCCGGCCTAAAGGTAGACGATCGCCTCCGCACCCGAGGTCCAGATCCAACTCCAGCTATCGGAAGTACCCTGTCTGCTTTTACCACTCCAGGTTCGGATCAAAAGCCCACCGGTGCTTGAAACCTTGCGACTTCAACAAGTCGGGAAAAGCCACGGGCAGTCGCTAATGGCGACTGACGATTGCCCAGCTGCTACCGGTCGCCTCTTCGTCCCTGACAGCAGTACAAAGAAACTGTTCCTGGTGGATACTGGCAGTGACCTGTGCGTCTATCCTCGTTCTGCACTTCGTGAACGACGGCCTAAAACAGGTTTCCAGTTGTGTGCGGCAAACGGTACATCTATAGACACATACGGCTACGTCGAACTTAATTTAAATTTAGGTCTTAGACGTTATTTTCCCTGGCGCTTTACAGTAGCTAATGTGACTAAACCAATAATCGGTGTAGATTTTTTGTGTCATTACAATTTAATAGTCGATTGTCGTAATCAACGTTTAATTGATAACACAACCACATTGTCTTCAAACGCTGTAATCGCTAAAACCAATATTTGTTCTGTCAAGGTTTTATCAGGCGACACACGGTATCACGAGCTTCTAGGTAAGTTTCCCGAAATCACTCGCCCTTCAGGCACACCTTGGTCTCCCAAGCATGACACAGTCCACCACATTCGCACAACACCCGGCCCCCCCGTTCACTGCACGCCTCGCAGACTCGCCCCCGATAAACTGAACATTGCCCGAAAAGAGTTTTAGCTCATGCTGGCTAACGGAACAGCTCGTCCTTCCGAGAGTTCTTGGGCTTCGCCACTGCACCTGGCCCCGAAACGGGACAACGGCTGGAGACCTTGTGGGGATTATAGGATGTTGAACGCACGTACTATACCGGATCGTTACCCTATCAGGCACATTCAAGACTTTGCCCATAGTATGGCTGGTTGCAAAGTCTTCAGCACAATAGACCTGGTCAAGGCTTACAATCAGATCAAGGTCAGTGAGCCTGATATCCCGAAGACCGCAATCACCACTCCTTTCGGTTTGTATGAGTTCCCTTACATGACTTTTGGTCTTAGGAATGCTGGTCAAACCTTTCAAAGGTTTGTCGACGAAATGACGAGAGGCCTGGATTTCGTATATTGTTACTTGGATGATTATTGCGTATTTTCGGAGTCACCAAGGGCTCATGAAGATCACTTGCAGCAGCTTTTCCAGCGTATGAAGGATTACGGTGTCCTCATTAACACCTCTAAATGCGTCTTCGGAGTTTCGGAAGTCACCTTTTTAGGGTACCGGATCTCCGAGGCTGGAACGAAACCCCTAATGTCAAAGGTACAAGCTGTGAGCGACTTCCCTGTCCCGCAGACAGTCAGGCAGTTAAGGCGTTTTCTGGGCATGCTTAACTTTTACCGTAGGTTCATACCCAATGCTGCTCAGATCCAGGCTCCGCTGAACTCCTTACTTACCGGATCAGTGAAGGCATCTCACCCGGTCGATATTTCTGGCAGTGCACTAATAGCTTTTAACCAGTGCAAAACGAGTCTCGCGAACGCCGCATTACTGGCTCACCCAGACTGTCACGCGAAACTCGCACTGGTAACAGACGCATCGGACCTGGCAATGGGTGCAGTCCTTCAACAGCTGAAAGCTGGCGAATGGCAACCACTCGCGTTCTTTTCGCGGAAATTTAGCCCTTCCCAACAAAAATACTCTCCCTATGACCGCGAACTTCTGGCCATATATGAGAGCATAAAGTACTTTCGGCACATGCTAGAGGCCCGGCACTTCATCGTGTTCACGGACCACAAACCACTTACTTTCGCTTTCTGTGAACGTAAAGCCAACTGCTCACCTCGCCAGTTCCGTCATTTGGACTATATTTCACAGTTCACGACAGACATCCGACACATTTCGGGCAAAGACAACGTGGTCGCCGATACACTGTCGCGGGTCGATGAACTGCAAACACCAATTGAATTGGAACAACTAGCAGCATCACAGGCTTCGGACGAGGAGTTGTTAAAATTTTTAGGTGAAGAATTCTCTCTACGTCTACAAAAAATCACGATCCCCGGCAGCAATTTAAAATTATACTGCGATACAAGCACTCACACGCCAAGACCTTTTGTGACCAAATCATTTAGGAAACAGCTTTTCGACAGCCTCCACAGTTTAAGCCATCCAGGCGCTAAAGCTACCACTAAGCTGATAGCTGAGCGCTTCGTTTGGCCTGGAATACGTAAGGACTGCCGGGAGTGGTCGCGAAAATGTCTGGAGTGCCAACGCGTCAAGGTAAACCGCCACGTGTCAGCACCATTGGGGACGTTCGATTTACCCCGTGCTCGCTTCGCTTTTATTCACGTGGACATCGTCGGCCCCTTACCAATATCTCAAGGGTACCGGTACTGCCTCACCGTCGTGGACCGTTTTACCCGTTGGCCGGAAGTCACCCCAATGACCGACATAACAGCTGAAACAGTCGGGAAAGCTTTAATATCGTGGATATCCAGGTTTGGATGTCCTACCGATATAGTAACTGACCGCGGTCGGCAGTTCGAATCCACACTTTTTCAGTTCCTTGGAAAAGTGATCGGATTTAAACATCGCCGCACAACCGCGTACAGGCCAGCTTGCAACGGGCTCGTGGAACGGCTTCACAGGCAACTTAAGGCAGCCATAATGTGCCACGCTGACCACAATTGGGTGGACACCTTGCCCTTAGTGCTATTGGGCATAAGAGCAGCATTCAAAGAGGATCTGAACTCTTCTTCAGCAGAACTCGTGTATGGAGAACCGTTACGCCTGCCTGGAGAGTTCTTCTTGACGCCTACTCCTTGTACAACTGATCTGTCAGACTTTACCGCTCGTCTAAGACACCTAACCGCTAAAATCCGTCCATCACCAGCAGCTCGCCACTGTAAAAATAAAATTTTTATTTACAAAGATTTGGCATCGTCGAGTCACATTTTTCTAAGAGATGACTCCGTAAGAGGTTCCTTACAGCCTCAGTATACCGGTCCTTATCAAGTGCTTGACAGGGGGGACAAGACTTTCAAGATACTGGTCAAAGGCAAGAGCGTCACGGTTTCAATAGACCGACTTAAGCCGGCTTACATACTTAAGGACCCCTGCCCTGACCCCTTGACTGAAACCACTCCTACTTCTATCTCTAACCCCATCCCTATTCCTACCCCTATCGCTCATCCTAACCCCCGTCAGGATATTCCTGTCGATACATTACCCAGAACTACCCGTTCTGGTCGCAAGGTTCGATTCCCGGATTACTTTCGACCGCAGTGACGGTCTCTGGGGGGGAGTGATGTGGGGCTCACACCACATATATACATGCATACATACATACATACATTCACACTTATTACTTATACCCATAATATTTATATTTAATATATTAAGCATACACAGACGTACTAACACGCGTGCAATAGGCGGGGCTTACGCCTCCTACCACAACGGCGACGCGCGGGCGCACCGGCCCTTGTATCCCGCGGCAGTCAGCTTATCGCTCCCGCTATGCTACCCTGTGTCGCTCGCTATCTTGACGCTCTGTGGCATCTACCGCGCACTGTATTAATTGTTATATTTTTTTCTTATACTTTGTTTCCGAGCTTTGAACTGTTTATAGTGTTTCTTCCATCTTCTTATTATATTGCTTGACTTTAACCTTCTGTTCTTTGTGCTTGTTTTACTTAACTGTGTGATTCGTGAAATAAAAACATTTGTGACCTGTACTGGACCTTTTCTTGGACTTGTGGTATGTGAACATTTTTACTTTTACCTAACACACTACAAGTTCATTTGATAGAATTTGTTTTATTTTCACGTTTTCTGAAATAATTTCATATAGGGTGAATCTGTGATGATAGTGAAATAATGTAACGGTAAATATGACAACCGGACCCCTCACAACGTGTTTGCAATAGTTTCACGATTAACGGTTTAGCAGTTAGTGTCATCATCATAATCTTAGAAGAAAGACGTCCCCTGCTGGACATTGGCCTCTCCAAGGCTCTCCACAATAACCGGTCTTGTGCTGCCCGCATCCAACGGCTTTCCTCAAACATTGTCCTCTCCATTGCTCTTTGGGTGACTTTCTGCCTTTTTATAAGGCCAATACGGAATGTCACCAACCCCTATTCATCCCGTGAGTATCGTAAGACCAGACTAAAGGAACAAACTGCGCAGGATAAAAGCACTGCAAGAAAAATTTGACACAAACCCTCTTCCAACCCGTCTGGCTAGCGTGGTATAGTACGCCAAAACGTCCTTTCTAAGGAGGGGGGTGTGTGTGTGTGTGTGTGTGTGTGTGTGTGTGTGTGTGTGTGTGTGTGTGTGTGTGTGTGTGTGTGTGTGTGTGTGTGTGTGTGTGTGTGTGTGTATAAGGGTAAAAAAACAAGCGGTCTGGATGTGAAGGTTTGCTTACAGTGAGAAACTTGTGCAGTTCAATGTTGCAGTTGGGGTCGTTGGTGACCTCGAACAGCGGCAGGAAGATGTTGTTCAGTATCTCCTGGAAGTTGTTCATTATCTTGTTCGACTTGAAGATGTCGCTGGAATATACAACAAATAATTAACTTTAATATACAAATAATATTGGTAAAGATAAAAATAAATTATAACACTGTGGTACCGCGCACATTACTTAAACGAGCATGTCCGGCTCGAAGGACCAATGTCAACTACAGGTGATGGCAATCATAATTAAGGCAGATATTTACAATTAATGCGTACACAAGCATTTTGTCTTCATAATTAATTAATCATTTTATACTGTCTACTTTTTACTCTATTGATGATTCGGTCGTGAAGCCAGGAGGTGTATAATTGACTCTTTTTGCCTTTTATTTGTGTTCGCGAATAAATGGCGCTCTTTACAGTTTTATTAAATTTTAATTTCTAATAATTTAAGTTGGGATTTTTTTTTCAAGCCTACCTCGACTACTGTAGGTATGTTGTTTATATTGTGTATATACAAATTCCTAGTATTCGGATACTTTAGTGAATATAGACATATATGAATGAACCTTGCTATAAGAAGGACCCTTTTTTTATTATAAAGTAGTTCAGAACTTTGTTTTTGAGGAGATCTGCAGTGTGGTACTCACTATAGTCGAGGTATCTGTATGAGCCAGCGGACATTGTCCGAGTACACGTTGTACTGTATGGCCCACTTGGCGAGTTTGGCCCATTCGCCGGGACTCTTGCCGTAGATGGAGAGACGAAGTTCTGCATTCTGGTACTTGCTTTCTTCTAGATCGAATGCCACTTCCTATTGAAAAAAAGAATATATAAGATCAGGTACATAACTAGGGAAGTATGAATGATTAAATTGTCATAATTTAGTTAAAAATTCAAATTATTTTTGAAGAAGCTTAAGTAGATTCGTTAGACCACACCAAATAGTTTTATAGTACCACTGATGTCGACTTGACGTGTATTATATTTATGCAAAAATATTCATATTAATATATTTTTTTTTTATGTAAAAGTAATCAAACGAGCAGACGTGTCACCGGATGGGAAGAGACTACCACCGCCCATAGACATTTGCAACCCAAGAGTGCGTTGCCGCCCTTTAAATCCTCCCCCAAAGAATCAGAGAGAAGCTCCGGTAACCTCACTCATACGGTAAAAGCAACGAAAGCAACTGCTTAACACCGGTTTTCGGTTTTTGTGGATCACATAAAGTGTTGTTCCATGTGGGGATCGCACCACTACGCCATCCATGCAGTCGATTTGTGTCGAAGGATGGCCCTCCCAGCTCTTTGTGTTATCAGATCCTTTGCCCACCTATAGCATAAAAAGAACAAAGTGTTACCTTGATTATCCTGGCGAAGTACTTCCCGTTCATATAGTTGTCAGTTTTGAGGAACACCTCCCTCAGTCTGCTCTCGCCGATGGGGTTGTACTTCGCGTTGAACTTGTCGAACCGGTGGAAGGTGTTGCGGTCCTGAAATATATTAAACACCGCTATTTGTAAGCGTCTCATTTGCGATCAGGAGGATGCGAGTTTAGGCCCCAAGCCTCTCTTTGTTTTGTTTTGTGTGAGTGGAAACCTCTCAGATTAATTTTACTGTTTATAACTAGAAAACGTCTGGACCAATTTTTATGATGTTTGATTTTTTTTATTACTTGCAGAATTACTATTGAATTGTTGAAAAATTTAGTAGAAATTCATTTTCTTATACCTATTGCGTATGAAACCAAACTAGAATGAAGAGCAAAGCTGTGGTTGAAAAGGCAAGTTAAACTGCGGGGATCTACTAGTCTTATATATAAAATTCTCGTGTCACGGTGTGCGTGGTTGAACTCCTCCAAAACGGCCCGACCGATTTTCGTGAAATTTTGTGTACATATCGGGTAGGTCTGAGAATCGACCAATATCTATTTTTCATACACCAAATTTATTTATTTATTGACATTTTTGAATGTTCGTGATACCAATAGTTTTTTGATCAAAGACTTGTTCTTATATTTTAAAATGAGGTGAAAACGGTACAAGGGTAGTATATAAGTTGACCTGTCCTATTACGATAAGTCAATATAAAGACAGTTGGAGTTATACTGGCCTGTCACTAGTTATATAAATACTTACAGCGTGTACATCCAGCATATCCACAGTCAGGTCGTAGGTGCTGAGGTTCATGGATTGGAAGACAGCCTTCAGCGTCATTGGAGTGCCTTTGTGGAGAGTCACCACTTCATCCGCGTGGTTCTTAAGTGTTTTCTTGATGAAGCGCAGCAGATGCTTTTGATTCATGCATGAGGCTGCGTGGATGTGGGTGTCTACTTTCCTATAAAGAGGTAATTTTCCATAGACACCAAGTAGCACTGACTTTTGTTGAGATAGAGCCTAGTTAGGTGCGGCGTCGGTCTGGGGGAGGGGGGAGGCTGAAATCACATGGCCCGGGTTCTCCCTAGAGCAGCGCGCCTAAGGCTGGCCGTCCGAGTGGTTTTTAGTAGATAAAGCGATGAAAGTGGAGATTTGAAGGGATTTGCCACCCCATCACCAACTACCCGCAACGATTGCCACAAATGTTCGTAGGGCAATCGGGACCGACGGCTTTACGTGCTCCAAGGTACGTTAGTAAATTTTTACATCCTTAATAAATATCAATCATAAAAGATCGCACACGGCCGTGTGAGCCCTAACTATGCAGTGTCTGTGCGACTGCATATAAGTATAGGTACTTAAGTATTTCTAAATAAACACATACATAAATATACTATACTATTATTACACATAAACTACACCCAGACACAGAACAAAAGATCGTGCACATAAAATTTGTCATGAGTGGGAATCGAACCCACGCCCTCTGGCTTAGCAGTCAAAGTCACTAACAACTAAACCAACAAGCCAGACGTCGGAAGGTCGACTTAAGATCGCTCTAATATCATAAAAAAGATAATTCAATAAAGGTTTTTACTTAGAAATTGTCTAAAGATATTAAGAGTAACGTATTTAGAATAAACATATTATATAAAAGAGTTTTTGTTATAAAATAAATTAAGTAAAGTAAAAAGATAAAATATACAAAAAAGAAATAATACGCTCTTTGCTGGAGGACTTACATTTGTGAGGGTTTTTTTTTTTATACAACAATATTTAATTTTATATAATTAAATATAATAAATTTCGTTATAACATTTATTTTTTGGTAATTTTTGTTATACATCATAGACTAACCAGAAGGTTGTATTATAAAAACGAAATGTAATAAAATTAATTAGTATTAAAAATATGAGCTTTTATTAATGTGTAGTATTATAGTTAAGACAAGATGGTCAGACGACCTGGTGAAGGTCTCGAGAAGCTGTTGGATACGGCAGCACAGGACTGGTTGTTGTGGCGAACCTTGGGGGAGGTCAAAGGACTCCAGCAGTGGACTTCGGCTGACATAAAGATGATGGTGACTATAATTGACTGCACGCATGGCGTAGTGTTTAAGCGGTCACCTCGCCGCTTCCTACTGCGCTAAACTGTTGTGGGTTCGATCCCCACATGGGACATCACTTTGTGTGATCCACAAATTATTGTTCTGAGTCTGGGTGTTCTTTGTGTCCGTTTCATGTATGTTTGTAAAGTCCCCCGCGACACAGGATATATTCCTAATGCGGGAGTAGTCTTTTAAAAAAAAAAATGTGTCGGTCCTCTGTGGTTTGGGACCACATAGGCGCACTTTGTCAAAGGGTTAAACCACAACACTACCGCAAAACCTGTCCTCAAGATACACACAAATATAACTAACCTGATATTATAGAAGTCTCTGTGGGGGACTGCTTTCTGTGAAGCCAGCTCTCTTAGTTCGTTGAGCAACACGTGCAGTTGGAACTTGGACGACAAATACGACAGACGACGGTAGCAGAAGGATTTCCTGTCATTTAAAACATATGATTTATTAGATTATAATTGTGTAAGGAACCTGTTTGGGGTCCCTGACGCCATGATGAACGAGTACTTATAGAGTAAGGTAAACAAAAGAATGTATTTTATGGGGAAAAAACATTGAACTCGGGATACTGTTATCGTTACCGACACCTCTGTTGAAGTGAAAACTTTAATCGCGTTGGGTAATTTTTTGAGATGAGAAAAAGAAGAAGCTGAAGTAAAATTGAACTCGCGACACTGTTAATGTTACCGTTACCGACACCGCTGTTTTCACTTCTGTCGGCACTCCCGGAGTGCCAGTCTCAAAGTGCGTATCCTTTAAGTCCCTCCCCCCAGAATCATCATTAGCATCATCAGGGTTTGGGCTCCGTTACCCTCATTCATTCGGTGAAAATAAACAAAAGAACTGCTTAACTTTCCTCCCCCATTCCTTTCAAATGGAGGGGAACACAAAAAGGCGTTGTAGCGAAGTTTGGGGTGGGCCTATGTCCAGCAGTGGACGTCCTTCGGCTGAGAAAAAGATTATGGTGATTATGGTATTTGTCAAGGGGTATTTAACCTGTCACAACACTACCGCAACACCAGAGGTCCAATCCTCGTAATGAAAGTTCGGTCTCAATTCAGTTACGATCAACTTTTAATGTCACAACTGTCATAAAAGGTGTTTTCGCAGTAAAGTATTAAACATCCGACGTTGACTATAATGTGATTATATCGTATTGTAACTGAAAATTGAATCTGTAATCTGCTAGTCTTAGTAATACTTTACTATTTTACTGCGAAAATACCTGATATGACAGTTGATCGGATCCGAATTGAGATCGAACTGTTATCACGAGAATTGGCCTTCTGTTCTCGAGATACACACATGATGAACGAGTACTTAACACGGGCCTGCTGGACATATGCCTACCCCAAACTTCGCTAAAACACCACTCTGTGTTCCCCTCCACTCAGAAAGGAATAGGGGAGGGAAGTTAAGCACTTGTGTTTCTTGAGATGCAAGTGTCCATTGGTGTCGGTACTTAAAGTACGTCCTACGATTGCTTAGCATCAGAGGGCCTAGTGTCGTTTCTTTCACATCAACTCGCTCGTCACGGTGACCGCGTTCGGCGTTGCGATTGGTCCGCGCTAAAATCTTCACCAATCACAACGCCAAACGCGTTCGCTGTCGAGAGCTAGTAGAAGTGAAAGAAACTTACACTAAGCCCTCAGAGTACTGTTCCCGAGCGATACAAAAAACTTTTACGGGAGAAAAGACGAATGCAATATCTAGTTATATAACTCACAGAGGTCCATCAGCAATCATATTGCACATGGTGATCTTATCCTGTATGTACTGCTGCAGCGTAATATATTCATAGGGCAATCTGATCTCTTCGCCATCTTCGCCCTTCTTGAAAACGTTGAAGACACCACTCTCTGATTTAATGGTGTACCCCTTCGGTGGAGGATGGTGACCCTCCCACGGGTCCTTACCTGCTCGGAAAGGTGGGTGGACTATGTGATCTGGAACAAAGGTACTAAGTGAATATTTCCAAATTCTCTTGCTGCATCGGTATGGGAGTTGCTTAGCAGCAGTATTGGCCTCCCTTCAACTATAACTGCTTGTAATTTGCGGTACAGCACTTGTGCCAAAGTGACCAAAAGTGAAATTTGTGAGATTCCATTCCTCTGGTCCTTTGGGAACTTGGAAAAATCTTTTATCCTGCATTGGTATTTCTCTCGTGTCTTATAATAATAACCTCATACATCTCACACATGGCCGTCTGATCCCAAACTTGGTAATGCCCATACTATAGTAACTAGACTGGTGTCAAACACACCTATATATTTCTAAATACATACATATCATAGATAAATTACACCCAGACAGAAAAATTATCGCATTCATCACACAATTATTTATCATGGGTTTGAATTGAAGTCGTGGAGTCGTCTTTGGCATAGCAGCTAGAATCATTAACCACTGAACCACCCAGCCCGTCATGTAATAGTGTCTGTCGGTTAATTACCCCAGGGTACAGAAGAGTTACTTACCAGCGATGTGCCTCTGAGCCAGTGTGACAGTAGGTGCGTGATTGTGTGGTGCATCCGCGTCCATAGAGCGAACGAAACGCGCTGTTATCGTCGCGTAACTCTGCTGGGACATCGACATGTAGCGTTTGCGCATGTCCAGAGCTTGTACCAAGTACGAGGATGCTAATTGGAGATCCTCCAGTGGTACCTGGGGATTGCGATGAAATGTTATTGGTCTCCTGCTTGGATTTCGATGAAAATTGAATCACATTTGCTAAGCTGTCTCGCCTACTGGTTTGAAACAGTTTAGGTACTGGCTAAGGAGTTGGATTTACTATGAAGTGCAGTGCGTTAGCACACTACACAACTCTTAATACAAACATTTACTTTAGCATACATTACTGTGTATATTATTATTATCCTAAAAGAAACCATTTGTAATGTTATCCCTTCTTCCCATTGAAGTGTGGCGACCCAGAACTCCATCAGGAACACTGACTCTTCAAATAAAGTTATCGGAGTAAATTAAAAAAAATGTATATAACCAATAACAATATTGTTAAAAAATAGTAGAATGTCTTCATTTCTGAGAGGAAGTTTCCAAGGAATTTATCAGTACTGTCGAGGGTGTGATGATCTCACTCTAAGTATAGGTCTTCTGTGTCTAAAACTCACCCCAGAAGTGTCCTCTCCACTTATAGCGACTCTTTGAAAGTGAGGAAGCACTATATCGATTTCGTCGTCATCCTGGATCCGAAGTCTTTCGTCGAACACAGCGTTGGCACCACCAGCCTCGCTGCCACCGAACGACCTGACTGATTGGCCGCATTCTGCTGCCCTAAAACGTAAGAAATTAGGGTTTACTACCTTATAAATAACCAGTATAAAGACAAACCAAATAACCAGAAAGGGTTACCAGAAAATGGGTATCATGTTCAGTCAGTCATGCCGTTCTATCGAACCCATTTGCTATTTTCTTTAGTGAAAGATACAAAGATTTGATACGAGGCTTTCTCAGGGATAACCTAACTGTAATCCTTCTCAGTTTAATAGTCTAATATGATTTCCTGCTGTATATTTCTTATATGGTGAAGGTACGTAATTCGTTTTGGCCAAATAACGATTGCTAAAACGAACGCCTTAATTAAAAAAAGAAAGTGTGGTGTCGTGGGACACCCGATAGGAACGAAGTTGTGACGATCGAGTAAAACTGATTCGACACGATTTTAATTACAAGGCCATCTATGAAAGCGGCTATTACCCACATATTTTTCAGTTGGTTTCTAATTAAAACAATTTATACATTGATAAAATCTCCTTGAGAAATGATTTCCTATCTATTCGATAGATGGCGCTGAATGACTGACAAGTGACAATTCAAAATAAATACTGAGATGATTTCACAACGCGCGATAAGGAACTTCGTTCCAAAAAAACGGTACATTTATGTATTTATGAGCTATAATGAAACAGACAAGTACACAGATACGCACATTCATCTTGTAACACGTCATTTTTACATCACGGGTGAAAGCTTGCGCCCACTTATTAAGGAACATTTCGAAGACTGAATGGAAAGGAAACAGAAACATAGGTACAACAGGTAGCATTAATATAACAACAACAATTAAATATCTATTAGGTACTGCAATGTACACAGGTCAGTATTAATGACAATCGAATGGGGGGCTTACAATACCCTATTATGGTAATACTCTGGACAAATAATACCAACATTGGCACAGCAATTAATATTCAGGCTATTTCGGCTAATTACTTATTCGAGTGTATGTTAATGTCAGTTTACATAACGAATATTAACTGACCTTAATAAAATAACCGTTTTCGACCTATTGTTGAACTGGTATAATCATAATGTTGTTTTATCTACCCGGAAAAGGGCTCGTGGTTAAGTGGTAACGGAATAAGTGACCACATTGCAAAGTTAAGCAACCCTAACCAGGTCAGTATATGGATGGGTGACCATTCTTAATACATTGAGACCCTTTCGTGCCTCGGCAGGCACGTTAAGCCGCCGGTCCTGGTTGCTACACGAACACGCAATCGTTACGGGAACACACACACACACTTTCTACACAACTTCGATATCAATTACTTCTTGGGTCCTTGAGGTCTGATGAGAGTCGCATTAGACGTATCAGAATAGACTAAAAGTCGACCTCAATCTAGTTAAAAAAAAAGGACTAGAGGAAGATCTACCTGGAAAGTTTGAGGGAACTTTAACAATGGATAATTTGATGGGTATTGGGCGATTCACTAGTGTTTCGGCCCACGTACCGATACGCCTTAAGGCATATTTTTGATTGGTCTATTGGGCCCATTAATAAATATTGGAGTTGAGTTATTTTTGGATGTGCCGATTTTAAATGTAAATATTTGTATTTATATCGTTAAGTAGGTACATACAGTCGATTAACAATAATATTACAGTCAATATAACCAATAATGTGACGGAATCTTGGGTTTCAAGAATAAATGCATAATATATATTAAACAAATATATTATTTTTTCATTTTTAAATATAAAAAATAAAAGCCTTAGCCGTTTCGGCTCGCGGGACGAAAGTACCAATCCTAAAGGCGATATTAGACGTTTCAGTACGCGGGCCGAAACACGAGCGGACCGAAACGCTTTTATAGCTTTCAGGCGCCACTGTTTCAACATACGGGCAAGTTCGGCAAAGATGCGAGGAGGTAAAGTTGAAATTCGGAAAGAGTACATTGAAAGTCCGTGTGGTGACGGATTAAGAATACAAATTGTCACCACCCCAATTCATCCCGTGGGTGTCGTAAGAGCCGACTAAGGGAGCAAACTAAGCAGGACAACAGCACTGCAAAGAGAAGGAAAACTTGAAACAAACCCTATACCAACCCGTCTGGCCATCGTGGCATAGTAGGCCAAAACCTCCTTTCTAAGAAAAGGCCTATGTCCAGCAGTGGACTAGTATAGGCTGTTGATGATGATGTGACATTGAAACTTTAGAACTCTCGGCAAGGCGGCATGCTTTTCTGTAGGTTACCCAAAACAATTTATTGGACTACAAATTGGGCGTTGAGAATTACTGAACACCGTATTAATTTATTTATTTTTATATTAGAGGGGGCAGACGAGCAGACGGGTCACCCGATGGAAAGTGACTATCGCCGCCCATGAACGTCTGCAACTCAGGAGTCACAAACGCGTTGGCGGCCTTTTAGGAAGGTGTACGCTCTTTTCTTAAAGGTTTGCAGGTCGTATTGGTCCGGCAATACCACAGACGATAATCCGTTCCACAGATTGGTTGTGCGGGGCAAAAGGTGTCTCGAAAATTGAGTCAGTTCATCGTTACAATCTTCTACAAAAGGAAAGTTTAATATATTTTGATTTGGTCTGGGTGTTTCTATGTATAATATGTATGTATTTACAAAAAAAAAAGTATATATGTATATATAACAGTTGTCTAGTACCCATAGTACAAGCTCTGCTTAGTTTGGGACTAGATGGCGTTGTGTGTATGTGGTAGAATATATAGAATATTATTATTATTTAGCGTGTCATGCGCATACGCATATGTAAGTGATAATAAAAATAATGACGTTAGCACATTTCTACAAATGGTCAAACAGGGTGGTCCTTGAAAGTGGTGCCAGATAAACTAAGCATGTTTACATCCGTTATGAGTTTGAAGAAAGTTGTAATCTTACACTTATAGCTTCCCTAACGACATGTGAAACCTTTTATCAAATAATTCCGTAGATAACTACCTTTATTTTTTATTAGACTAGTTCCTCCCACACGTCAACTGACCGACTGATCAACCTAATACCAAGACTGACGACGAATCTCCGAAGGCCAATTCTCGTAATAAAAGTTCGGTCAAAATTCAGTACCGATCTATTCTCGATTTCACAAATGTCTTATAGGGTATTTTCGTAGTAAATTTACATCACATCATCACATCAACCGCCTTTAATAGTCCACTGCTGGACATAGGCCTCTCCTTAGAAAGGAGGTTTTGGCCTACTATAGTAGTAAATTATTAAACATCAAACGTTGACTGTAATGTGATTATATCGTATTGTGACCAAAAATTGATTCGGTAATCTGCTTTACTATTTTACTACGAAAATACCTTTTATGACAATTGTGAGATCTTTTTTTTATGGAATAAGGGGCAAACCGAGCAGACGGATCACCTGATGGAAAGCAACAACCGCCGCCCATGAACGCCTGTAACTCAGGAGTCACAAGCGGGTTGCCAGCCTTTTCTTGAAGGTTTGAAGGTCGTATCGGATCGTAGATCGAGAGTTGTTTGGTACTGAATTTTGTCTTTTACCTATTACGAGAATTGGCTCTTTTAGATAGTTAAACTTTCTTTCAATAAGTAACGACATTCATTCTGGTTAGTATTAACACAACAAAAATGTGAGTTTTTTGTCACAAGGGACAAATAATCAGGCTGGTCACCTAATAATAAGCCTTAACCTTGTGTCTCTAAGGTCCCATGGACACATGGCACCTCAGAGCCACAACGAAATTTACTTAACACCGGTTTTCTCTGTGGCCGTAGCTATAGATAGTTCAACTCAGTTGTGCGTGCGGCCCTATGTGTGCGTGGCAGTCGTCGTCCGACTGCCGCGTCACTGCCACACGAATGAAAGTTGTATATTTACAAGCCCACGCACACATAGGTCCGCGCGCACAACTGAGTTGAACTATCTATACTACAGTCGAACGCTCCCATATGGCCCGTCTTGGAAAATCATGTCTCTCCCAAGAAAAAATCCTGGACTCCTTATAAAATTATTTCTAACCAATATTAGCAATACATATTTGAGGATGACGTCATTCGCACTTTGTACCCCTTTTTTTTCGGAAATCCCCTCGGATACCACCTATCGGTGGCATGTCGGACTCGAACCGACGACGAAAACCGCACGCCGTCTCGGGTACTAATAGCCGGGGAACCAGGTATACCCTAGAAAGGAAGTCCACACTTTGTACCCCTGATTAGTAACGCTGTCCGGCCTGTTACATATTACACACTGGCAAAGATATTCATCAGTCAAAATAAAGTCTGGTTTGAGGTGAATTTCACTATTTTTACGAGCTCTATGTTACCTTAAAATGTAGCTTTGGTCTATGTTCCATAGCTAACATAAAGCGCTTTAAATATTTGAATGCAGTTTTCATGAAATTCAAAACGCTCGACTAACTTGAAAGTTTGCACATGATTGTATCAAGGATCAATGACAATAAAAAACTTAACAATAACAAAATTAATTTTAAAAAAATAACAAAGAAAAACGCACACAAAAAAATTGGCACAAAATAATTTTTGAGTGAAAAAAAACCACCAAAAAATTCCGTGTACTTAGATTTGGCGCAAATAGGTTATGCGGTTCAAAAGTGACTCTACTGACGTTAAACATCGATAACCGCTTACCATCAAGAGGCTGTCCATGATTTGCCTATTCTATACTAAACTACTAAAAAAACAAGTGTTGTAATAAATACAAGTTCAAGAAGTACTAACATTCACGATTTGTTTTCTACACCAAAGATTCTTCAAGAATTTCTACAGCACAAAATTTTCAGAACACAAACACAACTAGCCAACGACTCTTTCAATAATATTAGTAGATGAGTATTGCAACAATATTTAAAGAAACAGTTCATAAAACAATTTAAATTAATTATAACATCGGAAGCACACCAATTAATTAGGTATAAAGTGTATAAAAATCAATGTTTGCTGATTAGCTCTTTATACTGTATTGTATCGTTCATCCACTTATCATTAAATGCATACACATTTCATGCAGAAAAATGCATTG